AAACAAAATGCGAATGCTGGAAGAAATATGAACAAAAATTAAAATTGGCATAATTTCCAACACTAAATTTAATTTTTTCAATCGTAGTGAAAGAATAATTTATATTTTCAAAAATTACAATATTTTCCTTGATCAAACTCCCTCATGAATTAATTATCTAAATTGAATACACGAAAAAAGCTGCGGTTTATTGTAAAATTCCAATATTTCAAATTGATGATTGAATTCCTATTGGTCAAGAACTGTGATTCAACCAAATTTACTTGTTCACTTCCACCTGCGTGCGTTTCCAAATTGTCATTTCCAGTCACGGCGAGGACGGAGCCGTGCCGGCCGAATGGCAATGACCCTCGCTTGCTCGTTTCCATCTCTCTGCTCTCAAGTTAGGTCTCCTCCGCAGGAAATAACAATAATGAATGTGCGCGCTGGCGCGTTTTCCGCTGCTCGCCCACCTGCACACTCGCGCCTTACTCGAGCACGCATCAGGTTAAAAGATCACAAACCCAAAGTTCTTTGATCTCGGGCGTATATATTAATTAATTGCAGGCGCTGTTAACAGCAAGAAAGTGCTGGACCGCCGTAGTTGATGGCAAAGTGCAAACTTGCCGCGCTTATTAGATTAGCAGCAGTTGCTAATTTCCAGCCGACGCCGCGCCTAAGCAGATTTGACGCTCAAAGACTGGCCCTGCAAAAAGCAGCCGCGCGGAAATTTTCGCCAGCTCGGCCCCCTCGGGAAATTCGGAAATTTAATCATCTTCCTTTGGAGGCGCAAAAACCGCTCAAAGATGAGCAAAAAATTGACCCTGATAGCTTGAAAAATGAAATTGCGATTTTTTTTTAAAAAAATTATCACTGCTTCTATAAGGGACACTGATTTTGAACAAAATTATTTATTGATCAGTGTTAAACTCGAAAAATTCAGTTCTTATCATCAAGGTTGAATATTAATTTTTTTCTTTTGAAACTAAAAGAGTTTGGTGTGATTTAGTTCTGGATTATTTAAGAATCCTGAAATTTCTTTTCTGTAAAGAAGATCGATGTAAAATTTCATTTTAAATTTTTCCAGCTGATTTTGTAAACAAATTTTGGAATTTTCTGTTTTTTATTTCTTTGATTATATATTTAAGATTCTTTTCGGTTATTTGATTTGTTATTTCTATAAAAAAAAAAATACTGACGTACAAAAAAGTTAATAATGCACTTAACAATATGTAATTATTTGAATTCCTCAATTAATTTGGCTTTTTGGTTTGTGTATTTATAGTAAATTGAAAAAGATGAAATTTGCAATTTTTGCGCCCCTTGCTGCCTGCGCTGGAAATGACGCATGATTCAGAGAGACACGTGTGTTCCTTCGGCCGAGTCGAAATTTGGCCGACATTCATATACATGATATATTTTTTCTGCCATTTATTTGCATTCAAAGGCATGCAACCGACATTGGCCCTCTCGACTTTTGCTTTCAGAGAGCACATTGTGCCACTGCCAGCGAGGAAAAGTCTTTGAAGTGCTGCTGCTTTTTCCAGCTTGTTTGTTTGTTTGTTTGCTGATGTTTGATGGCAAAGAACGGCGAAATTTTTATTGGCAAAAGAGCACCGCAATTGGCGAAAGTAAACATTCAGCATGGCCACCCTGGCCAGTGTAATGAGGAAATTTCCTGCAGGTCATTCGCGAAATATGAATTCAGAGATAAAAGTCTCATTGTATGGAAACACAATTTTATATACATGCTCTCATGTTTACTTTGCGTAGCTTTTTTAATTATTTTTTTTTTATCGGACATTCTTTCGTTTAAAATATAAAATCTGTTGAATAATTTGAATCAGTTTTTAAAACATTAATGGAAATGAAAATTAAATATTTCGTTAAAGACTTTTTATGATATTGGAAAAAATTTCAAATATAAAATGTGCTTTAAAAAAATCTAGATGCTTATTAAGAAACCCTACAATGCAAATGAGGCCGATTTTCAATTAGACCCTTTGGAATAAATAGCGTTCGAGTGTGGTGTGTAATTATGGAAGTGCTCTTTGTTTGCGCCAAGAAACTCGTTAATCAACAACTCAAACATCGACTTGGTGGCTGTTCTTTGTTCGCCGCGCCACGGAGTTCAAGCTCTGATAAAAATGGAACATCAAAAGAAAAGCAGCCCTAGATTGATTGCTGCCTGGGTAACAATGGTCCCCAGAGATGGAACAAAAATATGTATATAAATAAATGTATGCGGAGCGCTCTTGGGTGTGCAAAGCAGCGCTCGGCGGAACGCTCATTTTTCACTTCCTCCATCAACTCGATTCGATAAAGTGCATATCACGTCAAGGCGGACAGCCAATTTGATTATACACACCAGTTTGTTTTGTTCTCTTTAACAACCCGTGGAATATGCTGCGAACACCAAAAACGACTGATACAAAAATTATGATGAATGATGATGCTCATCGTAATTTGTGATTTGAATTTCCACTTGCATGTTTTTCCTTCAAATATTTACATTGCCAGTTTTAGGAATTTTTCCAATATGATGAAAATGTATAAAAATAGTACAGTTCATTTTGAAAATGGGAAAAATGATTTAATATTAATTATCAAGAGTTAGGCCTCGGAATAATAATAATATTTTAAATATTGTAAGCTTCAAACAGAGTAGGCAGTGAATTAACTTTTTTTAAATTGATTTTAGCCCAAAACTTTTTTCTACCTACAATTTTTTTCAGAGCATTTCTTCTGATATATCAGTCATAATTCTAACTCTCGCAAAAAAAAACGAAAAATATAGAAATTCATATTGGTTGCCATCAAGTTTTTACCAAAGTTTTTGTTCGCTATATAATTTCTAATAAATTTAAAATATGCTCACATCAATCATTTAAAATTTTATGCCAAATTGAAATGAACTTTAAAAACTTAATGAAACCTCAGTCAGTCTTTCTTATTCAGGCCGTCTTTTCCTGTCTCAACCTTTCCTCCCTTCTGACGTGCCTGACTTAAAACTCGACGTTCATCACAAATTCTCACTTTCCACCCACAAATCCACCACTCATTAACGAAGATTGCCGTGCCCGAAATAATCTTAAGCTCCACACACGAGGAATAAGTCGTTGTTTTCCCGAAATTCCGCCTCATTCATTAATCAAAGGATTAGCCCGAGCCTATCTCTCGAGAGAGATGCGTTTTCGTGGGAACATTCTTTGGCGTTTCGACTTGGAAAGCAAAGCCGGCGGTAAGGCACACACACGCATTATTATTTCGTGGTGAATTATTAAAGACCCGAAATTGTTTCCCCTTGAGTTTTATATTCTCCGTCCGTCAGATGCTATCTCGCTGCAGCATCTGCTCAGGGAGAATTTTATATACCTGGGACCAGGTGAGCGTCAGTTGGGCTCGAAAAATGCGTTCGGCCTTAGGCAAGGCGTGTGCTCTTTTTTTTCCAGCGATCCGAATCTCTCGCGGTGTTAATTTCAAATTTATCCCGACGCAACGGCACAAAGCGATCGAATTTGCATTTTGATTGCACGTTTCGTATATTCTTGTGTATCGCTGGTTGGAAGTGATTATTGTCAAAGTTTGAGAGCGAACATATGCGGCGTCGCTGCAAATGAATGTCAACCCTTGGTGAATAATTAATTAGTTTGGTAATTACAAACGTGGCGGATACGCAATTTAATTATAACTTCGGCACGCTTGTGCCGCTTCGGAATATGGAGTGATGATTATTTTTTGCCGAGGAAAGTTATCTTCTCCATTTCATTGCTATGAAATTCATTTTCTTTCCAGTTCACAAACAAGATATAAAAAATTTATATAAAAAATATTTTTTTTTCAGCATTATCTATTTTTTCAAATAAAAATGGAAGCAACCACAAATTATGTTATTTGAGTTCTGACTAAAATTAAGTTCTCTATCAGCATTTTTTTTACTCTCATTTTCGGAAAATTCTTGATTTATAAGTAGATTTTATTGCAATTGATCTTAAGAGGCAAACTGATAAAAAAAATAAAATATTTGGTCGATGTTCCAGCCTTGGTGCCTAACTGGATTTGATGGCCAATGGAAGTCGCAAAGTATGCTGCATGTGTCGTGCAAAACCTCACAGGTGAGGAAAAAGTGCCGCAGCAAAAGCTCATTTTTGGCAAATGGAGCGCGTGCATGGAAGCCTTTTAAACAAATGACAGCTATTTGCGACCGTCCTCGACATTTTTCACCAAAGCCCAATGCAAAAATAGCTGAGCAATTTGCATAATAAAGGGCAGTGTGGCAGAAAAAGCGAGACAAAAACTTCCAATAAATAGTCAAAGTTGCGTAGCCTGACTGGCACCAATGTCAGAGGCTTCGAATAAAATTGCATGAATGTTTTCAAATAAGAACAAAGCACCATTTCCAGGGCACCAAAAAAATTAAAACATTTTATTCTCAAAATTACTGCATTTGCTCAGATAAAACGTTTAAATATTTGTTATAATTGAATATAGAAAAAAATGGAAAAAAATGTTTGAAATAAGCATATAATTAAAAATTGGTTTTAATTTAATTATTAATGATTTTAACAATTTTACTAACTTTTATAAATGTTCGAATTGTTGACATTTAATTTAATTAAATAGGAAAAATATTTTTAATAAGCATAAAATATAATTAAAAATTGGTTTTTTATTTAATTATTAATGATTTTAACAATTTAATTTACTTTTATAAATGATAGAAATATCAATATAATGTTAGTTATTTTTAAATAATTATTAGAAACTCTCATTTTAGGCCATTTATTTAATTATTTTCATTTTTTTCTAATATTTTATATAAAACATCTTTAGTCGATAATACTGAAAAGTCTATATCTACTTCTTTAAAGATCACCATTAATTTTGACTGAAAATGGGGCTACAGGCCAAAGAAAACCCCTTGTATGAGAGGATGGGGAACGACCTGCACCTCGGGCACTAACCCCGCGGCCACTCAGGTGCGCAGACGGCGGACCAAGACCCTGACTGGCGTGACTCACCTGTATCAGCTGTGACGGAAAAGGTGAGGAGCAGCAACAGGGCGGCCCACAGCGCGGACAAAAGGGTGCTCGGGGGCAGACATTGCACCATGGCGACTAGGGGTGGAGGTCGCACGGGGCCCTAGCAGCCCCTGAGGCGCATCTCAGGTCGGCTCAGGTGCGACGCCACCCCTGCGTGCGCGCGATCAATGTTGTTCAGCGGCCTCGCCGCATCCCCAGGCGGTGAAGGATTGACTCGGAGGCCAACGCGGGCCAAAAGTTCACTCGGGGTTGACGGACACTAGCCCTGCACGAGCATCGCACTACCCGAACCACTCTCTGTCCGTAATCAGTGAGTGTCGTCCGTCGACGGTCTTGCTTGTTTCGGGGAATGCAGACGGACTGCTGCTTGACAGGCGCACCACGGTGGCGCTGCCACACGTGCCAACCGAACAGAATCACAACATTCCACTCGTTATTATCTGACTCCACTTATTCATGAGCGAGCTGCATTTTTGAAATTTTAATTGGAACAGAAATTTAGATTTTCTCTGCTCATTATGTTAAATGCCAAAGATAAGAAGAAACAAATATTAAATAAATGAGGGTCCATTAATATTATGTTGGCAGTAGAGGCTGGACTTAATAGTTCGTGTGTTGACGAGAAGAGGCAGCACGTACTTACCACTTGTTTATTATAAGTCATCTATGTATACAACATTATCCTTATTGTTATTACCAAATATCAAATATTGGTACTTTAATGTACATTTGTAAAATATAACATCATAAATTTTTAATAATAATATTAATTTTCTCATCTTATTAATAGACATTACAAGAATATTAAAATACTTTGATTTTAGTTAATTTTGAATATATATATATAATAATTATTATAATATACATTTTTTAGCATAATAACTTATATTGCACTATTGGCATAGTCTGCATTTTACTTTTCTTACTTTTTGTAATGTGACATATTTTCTATATAATTGTACTTAATTGGTACACTTTTAAGATGTAAACAAATGTCGTGCAACACAGATCTTTACATTTTTATATAAAGTTCATTAACTCAAATTCTGTAATTTGAAGAAGATTTTGTTACTCCGACAACTTTTTATTTTATTTGTAATTAAAATTATGAAAATGCTTACATGCCAATATGATCTTTCCTTTTTGACCTTTGCCTTAAAATAAAAATTTTCAATTTATTACAATAATTATTGCAAGAGGTGAATTTTATGTCTATGTAAAGTACTTCAAATTTATTACCGCAAAACAAAATTGTAGATGATTATTAGAAAAACAAAGTATAATGTGAAAATGAAATATAAACTTAGCATCCAAATATTCATTTCAATTTACTGTCTTTTAAATTTCTGGGACTAAAAACTTGTGGAAATTAAAAATTTTCAGGCTTAATAAATTTCAAATAGAATCAATACAAAGACAATAGTGCCTTATTATTAGTTTAATTGTTGAGTAATGATTATTGCACGAAATTTTAATTCATTTGTGTTTAATGAACTGCTATTATATTGTATTTTTCGCTCAATGATAAATAAACCTTTTTTGGGTAAGGAAGGAAAGAAATCTTGCAGAAAATAAATTCAAGAATTTTATGCCGTCATTATATACCCAATTTTCACTGTTAAATGCTCAACCGACTTTTACTCTTGAATGACATGCTGAAATTTTTCTAGCAATTAAATGACATCTGGAAGTTCATCCGCGAGCTCATTTCTTATAGAATTATTCGCATAAATTTTCTTTCTCCAAGCAAAGCAAACGTATATATGAATGTGTTTACCGCAGCGCTACTCTTATTTTCACTCTGTACGGAGCATATTAATTTTTTATTCTATTGTGCGCGCATTTCACCGACTTCTCATTTTCCTTTTTGTACTTTCGCTGGCCGCGTGTTTTTTTCCTGCGGTATGGCAGCAACGATAATAAACAAACGCATCGCGAGGAATCATCGCGCGCGGGAGAAGAGATTGATTGATCGCGCGAGATAATAATGCAAATCAGTTTGGCACGCGAGCCTCTCGCGGTTTGTTATTATATTCGACAGTGAAAGTTGGGCTATTAGTTAGTATATTATTGTGCACGGCTTGGCCAGGTTAGTTAGCCGGCGCGCGAGGCGAATTAGCCGTCGCGAGAGCCAAGAAAGGCTGCGGCAGTCCAGGGAGGCCGGATGTAGGTTAGTGGTTCAGCCAAGGCACAGTGTCTCCCTGCAGATCGTGGCGGCGAACGCGCAGCTCTTGCTTTTCATTTACTTATTTGTCAGCCTCCGCGGCGGCCACAGCACCTGCACACCCGCCAGCAGCGACTTCGGCATGTCCAGCAGCGCTCGGCTGCTCATCTTTGTCTGCGCCGCCCTTGACCTTGTCACCATCTCTTTTACAACATTTGCTACAAAAGGTAAAAAGTATTTTAATTAATAATATAAAAAAAACAATAAACTTAAGTTTTCATTTAAAAATATTTTTAATTTCTTGATAATAATTTTTAAATACAATTTTATTTCTTGTCTAATTAAAACTTTAATACTATATTTTAATAATTTTTACTTAAGTAGTGTATTATTGATTTAAAAAAATATAGATAATAATTTCTGGAATCTAGATATTGTATTTTTTGCAATTGGAAATATAAGACTCACAAAAGTCAATTGAGATAGTAATCAGAGGGGAATTAATATTATAATACTGATATGAAATATTACAATTTTCTTACTCAGAATACGCACATGAATATATACAACTGAATAAATCAACAGAGTTTAAAAATAAATCAATTAACAATGCTATATAAAATTAAGTAGTTAAAATTATAAGGAATTAACCTCCTTTAAATTAACTCACAATTAAAATTAAAAAAGCAAACACCTTTAAAATAAGTTAGAACTTAGAATTAATTAAATTTTACAGTACAGAAATATTTTGAGTTCAGCGCAATAACCAGCTTAATTTTTTTTGCACTAATTTAAGTAAGGATATTTGATTCAGTGGAAATGATAGTTTCAGTCTGCTACCTCCTCAAAAGTGGACCCATAAAGCTTAATTTTTTTTTACAACTTATCTTCTTTTTAAGTGAGTGAAGCTTTGTGTCTAATTTCCAGTCTAAAATAATTACATGTGTTTGTGGGTGATTTGAGACTAAAGTCATTCAAGTAAATCATGTATCTGTATCTTTAATTTTTTCCTCATTTTTCTAACAAAAAAATAACACTTCATTTGGAGAAATTCACGTTATTTACCACAGTAAAAAAGGTGTGCGCAAGCTATAAAGTAAGCAACTGATCGCACTGCTTGTTAGAAAGAATTATCCGTGAATAATCGGCTGATTCGTTTCTCTCAAATCAAGAAATTATTCTCGCTTTCATAGAATTTAGGTCTCTATATACCTCCAAAAATACTGATGATCAATGTATTTTTTCTCCTTTTTTTCAGATGATTTGCTGCAAAATTGCGGGACAACGTCAGTCTTTGCCAACCACCGGCAAGGACGACTGCGGGAGTCGGGAGTCAGCAGGGTTGTTGGGGGCATTCCTAGTCCGGAGGGATCATCCCCTTGGATGGTGAGTTTCTTGATAGTTTTTATAGTATGCAATTAGTCAATTCCAATCGACTCAAAAATTCTTTACTTCTTTTTATAATATTGCCCTGCATCAAATCCAATATAAACAAATCTTGAATTGAAACTGAAAAATTCTCTTTTTTTTTAGGTCTCTCTACAACTTTTGCACCCAGGTATGGGCTATGTTGGACATATCTGTGGAGGAGTTTTGATTCACCAAAGTTGGGTAGTCACTGCGGCCCACTGTATAAAAAAGTAAGCAACACCAATTTGTTAAAGTTCAGAAAAAATTAATGAAATATATATAATTAAAATAACAATGATTTAATAAAAATTTTGCATAACTTTGAAATAAATGATCATTATTTTTATTCTATTTGCTTAAGTAAGTGTGCAAGTATGGAAACTGAAAATTGTGTTTCAGTAAAGATAATGCACATGCCAATATGATGCATTTAGTTGTTGCTTGTGACCTGTATAAAATACAGCTTTAATTTCAAAAAAACTTTACTCTAACGTAAAAAAAGAAAGGTGGTAGAAACAAATAATTATACTTAGATAAATATAATAATAAATAAATGCAAGTTATCTTGATAACATCCAAGAAACCTGTGAACAATTTCAATTTTTTTTTTTTAATTTAATAAAATGTATAGTTTGATCATTATTTTAAAATAATTACGTTGTGAAGTTAGTTTATTTTAATCCTCTTCGAATGAGATGTACAATTTTGTACTTCTATAGTCTTATTTCAGTTATTTCTAGACGAGGCTAGAAATTTTCACTGCCACACATATACATTCTAAATTCATACCTAATTTTTTTAATCGACTGAATCATTTCAATAATTATTCTTCTAATGAATTCCAGTGAAAAGTACGCCCTTCCGATCTCCCATCTGTGGAGCGTCCAGTTTGGCCCGGAGCTGCGGAGGTTTGCGATCAAGGAGATTGTTATTCACGAGAAGTTCGCCGGCTACAATCACGACATTGGTGCGTAAATACATGCATTCTAATTAATTGGCAGTGCCGTTTGACAACGAAAAAGATCGTGACGATCTCGCGTTCGTCTCGCAGCGAATAGAGTGTAATCCGCCGCACAGTTACGATTATATTTATTTTGAATCGGGAGCACCGAGCGAGAGAGTCGAGGTTGAAAAATCAAAATATACATGAACATGATTAATTCAGGAGCGGTTTTGATTTAATAGCACGGTGTGTGTGCGCTTGATTTGTATAAGGGAACGAGCTTTTCTAAATTGAACGCCCCTTAATTATCTGCCGAGACTTCGAGAGTGAGCGTCGACTGAAATCAATTAAAATGCCAATAACTGATGCATGAGGAGTACACTGGCTAAAAAAATAAAATATACAAACGAGAGAGTTCGATGCGCAGTTTGACTTTGTTTGCTTTGCATGGAACAGTTATTTTTGTCAAGCGTCTCCGTTCGAGGAAAATGAGCAGAGCAAAGAAAGCGAAAATAAAGGGACAGCTGCTGCTTTTCAGTAATTCGGTCGATTAATTTGTAAATTACCTTTTTGCATAAAAAGTGAGCAGATGACTCTCTCTGTCTGGACAGCTAATTTTGTATTCGCTGCAATTAAACATCACATCCAATCGCTTTCTTTCATTTACGATCTTATTAAACGCACTATTAACCACTTTCTCTGACTGTTGTTTGAATGATTTGTGGTCGCGTGCGTGCCGAAAATAGAGAAATAGACTTGGGTGTCAAGAGCTTGGGTGAAAATGATCGCAAATTTTCTCACGAAAAAATTTACATTTACACGAATGCGTGCGGTATAAAAATGGAATTTTTTAAATAAAATTATTCGTTTTTGCTCATCAAATAGAGTGTCAGTTCAAGACCACTTGTCTTATTAAAACGTTGACCCAAATTTCATCGACAACAGTGGCGTTTTTTTTTGCGGTGACAATAAGCCGGTTATGAATTGCAGATTGATTTGCTCGCTCGTGCAGCTAGGGAAAGTAAAACCTACATTTTTACACTTTTTTCGCGAATTCTTTTCCTTGCTTGCGGTCACACACTTTTAATCGCCTCAACACTTTCTTTCTTTCTTTTGTTGTCCCCATTCCAGCCTTGGTGCAATTGTCAACCCCTGCCCCGTACGTGCCCGTGTGCCTCCCAAAGGGTGGCCAGGGCTACCTGGGCGTTCGATGCGTGGCCAGTGGCTGGAGCGGCGTCCCGGCGCCCAACATCCTCACTCGAAGATCCGGCGCCCCTGGCCCCAGAGCTCATGTGCACCTGACCGTCGTATCCAGCAGTGTCTGCCGAAACCTCTACCTTTCCACATACAACCTCACCCTGAACGCGGGCCACCTGTGCGCGTCAGGAAAGGGTGGATTGACGTCAGGAACATGTCTTGTAAATTGCAATTATTTTTTATTATTTAAAATTATTAAAATTATAAAATGTTTACATTATTTTGTTTTGTTTTTAAGTTCATATAAATTTAAATTTTTTCAATTATATTTTTTATTTTAAATTATTTATAAAATATCCTTAATCTTATTAATATTTTTTATAATTTTTTGATAAAAAAAATTGTATTAGGTATTAGAATTTTTAATATATATCTTTTGACAAGAAAAGAACAAACATCAAAATTGAAGATTGAAATTTTTTTGAAATTATGATAAGTTATGATTTAATATTGAAACAGGAAATGTTTCGAGCTAAATGGATCATTTGCATGAGTTTTATTTTCTGCGACTGAACTGTATGAGAATTTTGTTTTAACTATTCTAATTCTATCAATTCCAGGGTGATTCTGGAGGACCCCTCCAGTGCAATATGGCCGACGGAAGGTGGTACTTAGCTGGAATAACTGCTTTCGGGTCGGGCTGCGGCCGGCCTGGCTATCCCGATGTTTACACCCGACTTGCATATTACCTGCCCTGGATCAACGCGCAGATCAAGAATTTCCCCACCGAGGATAGAAGAAAAAATGTCTTATAACTTCAGCTGTAAAATGCAACATCTGCATTATTTGCAAAAATGCAAGCGCGGGTGGCGTCTGTGGCCGTGATGTCTCTGGCTTGCTTTAAAATGTGATGAAATTCGCCGAAACCTGACCATTCATATAGATGTTTTAGAAAGCCAATCACAAAACTAGATAGGACAAATTCAGATTTGCTAATTTTTATGCGGATTTTCAATTTTGCACTCATAATTTCTAGTCACTTGTTATATGATTACTTTAGTTTTTTACTTATCTCTTATAGAGAGTTTTTATTATTGTTTTATTATATTCTTTTTACACAAAATAAATAATAATTTTACTCAAAAAATGCAGTGTAATTTTTATTTGATTACACTTGTGACCTCTCATTAACAAGGAGAGTCCAATCGCACTTGGCATTTTCCGAATGTCACACGCGGGAAAGCACATATGAATTATGATAAGCGTATTATTTGTGCTTCTGTGGAAATCGGAAGCTGCATCACTGATGTGTATCCTGCATGTGTGGTGGTGACGTTGACAACGCGACGGTCTTGCCGTTCGATTCTAAAGGCGTGCGCGTGAGAGTTGCCGGTGTTGCTGTGTCCCACTATGGCGGCTGTTCCGCTTTTAATTGTCCAAACGGCCTTGGTGCTCGGCGCTGACGAACTCAGGAAGCTGCGGCCGCTGCCATATTTTTCTCTGTTTCTGCCGAAGCTTGATGAAAAAATTCTGGTAGTCCCGCCGCGAGCCATATCATCGATTTTCAGCGTGAATTCACGCTGCAGATAGCATGCAGCACTTCTATCATGCTGCACTGGGTATAGCCCTTTCAATCATATTTCTATCGGTGAGTTTGATTAAATCAAATGTTTTAACAATTGATAATATTTCATCAAGCACTCACTTATTTGGAATATGAAAAATGAATCTTTATTGAAGCATAAAATTCACGAGAAACGCATGTTTTCTGAGTCTGACCGCATCCATCAGTATTTTTTAACTGACTCAAACAGTAAAAAATTGTATTGAAGAGTTTTCATTCCTCGGATATAATTTATGGAATTTATTCAAAAATAATTTTCCATTCTGAAGTATTAATCCAATTAGTTAATTATTTTTGTGTTTTAACAATTAACTAAAAAAACAATTATTTATTAATCTATTATACATTGTGAATTCAACGAAAAATTAAAATTTCCTTTTATGCAATCTGCTTCGTAGCAATTTGATTTGATACTTTCAACTGACGAAGAAGAATATTACTACGATGATCACGGTTCTGATGTAGCGGATGGTCAGTTAGCCAAAAATATTTACAAAAAATATTACAAAAATTTATATTTCAGGTATCGTAAAAGGATCTGGACAATCTGTTACACCGTGAGCTCGTCTGTCGTTTTGTAAATTAACCAATCTAATATTAACTTTTCTTCTAGGGCTGGTAATAAAATTTTATTAAAAAATCAGTTAGAAGCTTAATTTAGAAATATCAGTTTTTTATTTCAATTTTACTGATTAAATCTGGTTCCTTGATGTTATGTAATACAGGAAGCACCGAAATGCAGTGCCCAGTTTGCCCAGAAATATCATGCAAACCAGACGTGAGTTTATTCAATTATGCTTATTTACAAAGAAAAAATAATATAATCCTCAATAGAAAGTTTCGATTTTATTTTGCTAACTTTTTCTCGCTCTGTAAATTTTAAATGCAATACTGCCGAGTTTTCAGTAGCACAATAGATTTTTTGCGTTAGTGGCTACTTTCCGGTGCAAACAAATGCGTCGAATGTTTTCCACCACAGTTTTTAATTTTTGCACAACTGATACGTGATTCGTTTGTTTTTTCTTTCAGAGTTCCATGACTGATGGAAATGGAAAGATTTTAGGCGAGTATCTTTAATATTTATAATAAAAGTTTAAATTAAATGAAATTTTTTTCAATAGTCGATATAAAAGAAGGAAAATTGCGGTCAATCAACAACAAAACTTACTTTTTCGGCGTCAGATCGGTCGGCAATTAAATTTTTTTTCTAAACTAGTTAGCTTATTTTGCATCTTTAGACCAAGGCAGACGACGCTGAAAGTGTATGCTGCAAATTGGGAATGCGCCTATTGGCGGTGGAATCATTTGACGATATAGCGAATCTTCAAAAGCTCCACAAAGGTTAAAATTTAACAACTTTTTTAAAAGAAACTAATGTATTACTAGATATTTTTGAGGGGTACAACTTCTTCTGGACAAGCGGTCGTTTATCAAGTGACTGCAACGATGTGGTGGGTTGGTGCTCCACAGGGCGAACGTCTCCCAAAAACACGGTGTGGAAACAGCAAGCAACGTCCGTGTACGGTGATTGCGCCATACTGAAGCTTTACAATGACGACGTTAAGAAATGCGGCGTCGATCGTAGCTCTTGCTCAAGTAAAAATAATTACATTTGCGAGGTAATTTAAATTTGTTAAGCAAAAAGGCGTAAATTTCAATTTGCAACTAAATTTAAATACATTTCTCTAGGCACCCGGTCTCAAGCATGAAATGAAAGACAAAGTGCGAGCTAGACAAGGACAAAAATGCACCGCACCAACATGCCCTGCGATTAATTGCACAAAAAACGTAAAGACGACTTACTAGAAAGAATGCATAAAATTAACTTTTTATAATGCAGAACATGTACTTCGAACCTCCATCGTACACACGTTTAAATCGTAAAATTCAGTTCTAAATATATCAATTTGTCTTAAACTCCAATGCCAATTTCTTTAATTAAAGTGTCTGGAGAACTTGGTAGAATTCAACTTGTTGGAAACCAAACGTACTTCATCAGCAAAATAAAAGTACTATTTGTATTTTTTTTTTACTAAAGAAATAATTAGCATATTCTTTAGCTGAGATTCAAGGAGGCTTTAGACGCTTGCTGTGCCATTGACATGCGGCTCGTCAGCATCGAGAATCGAACCAAAGGCAATCAGCTCGAGGACTACTTGGAAATTAACGAGCAGTACTGGACGGGCGGTTCTGATCTTGGTTGTGAGGGCAACTTTGGCTGGTGCGGTCAAGGAGGACAGGAGTTTGGCCGGAACATTCCGTGGTTGTACTTGGAGCCGAACAATGCCGAGGGGAACGAGCACTGCGTCAACATTGATATGATTGCCTGGGACAGCGTCAAGTTCACTTTGAACGACAACAACTGCGACAAAATGATGAAGTTCGTCTGCGAGGTTTGATGAAAATGTCATTTCAATATATTGAATTAACGAGCTAATTTTTTTTTCACTACAGTCCAAGAAGCCTGTACTTTTGGGATCTGTAATGACTACGGTCGCTCCACCCGTTGTCGTCACACTTGCTGATTGCACCAGGGCCATGTGTCCACAGCACGATTGCAGAGAATCGGTTTGAAAATCATAAATATTTTTTTTTTTTGCGCTGATTCATAATTTTTTCAATGAAGGACCCTGAGCTTATGGATGATTTCGGTAAAATTATCAAATAATTGAAATGAAAAAAAATTTAGTAAATTTTTAATTCAGTCAATGTGACTTTTGGTGAGCCAAAAACTGCGTGCGGTAGGACAATGTATTTGAGCAAGAACAGGGTACAAATTTATCTAGAGTCTTTAAAAAAATTTCCGCATCAAATCTTTAGGTCAGCTTTGCGGATGCTAGCAAGGCGTGTCATTGCTCTCTGAAACTGAAGCCCATCACAATCGAGACGGCGGAGGATCAGGCTTGCATCGCCGAAGTCATTCAAAGTACACTAACTTTTATATTTTATCAAAAAAATGGACTAATAATTTTCCACAGAGGAATACCAAAAGAAAAACGCAACCGTCTGGACGTCCGCCAGTGACGACATGTGTCCTGGCAAGTACACTTGGTGCGGCACCAACAAACTGATGACCACTGACGCGCGATGGCGTAAGGGCGAGCCCAGTTTGAACAACTGGCTGCAGGCCTGTGTGGCGCTCCACATTGGCAACAACCAAACTCAACTCAATGGACTCGCTGACTACAAGTGCAGTCGCAAATTCCGATTTATTTGCGAGGTGAGTTTTACAAAAAATTAATTCATATTTGATTGAAAATTTTAATTTATTAAAAGGTTATGAAGAAATAATTAAATACATGCCAAAGGCTGGATTAGGATCTACTTACTACACAACAGTTTTCGCTTTTTTAGGAATTGTTTGCTCATGGCTTATGTGGTTTCAGGATTTTTAATAAAAGTAATAAAATTTCAAAAGTGTAACAATTGGCAAACAGAAACCTTTTTAAATACGCCCTTAACACTATATGGTCATTACTAGTTGTAATAAAAAAAATCAAATTAACGATTAATTTCATTAATAAGCTTTATTTTCATGGATGTAAAAAGTTTTGATCCCGAAAAAAATGTACTTATTAAGCTTGATTAGAGGTTATAATTTTATTCCGTTACCAATAAACGAGTGTGTGTACCGAATGCTTTGCTGCTGTGAATCTGATGGTGCCTCTCTTTGGGTCGGCCAGGATAAACGGCACATCCAATCCTTTCCTACAACATTGTAATACGAAAACTTTTTAACGCGAAAAATAAATTGATCAAATTGTGCACTTCTTCCATTTACCGCGCCTCATTAACTGTAAAAGCGCACAGTCAGAGTGTTACTCATTGAAAGAAGTAAATATGTAAAAGTATAAAAGATGGTATCTTTAGCAAATAAAAATTTTCGCCGAGCACCGTGAAATATGGAGGAGAAAGTAGGATTAATTGTATTTTCTGCTTCAAAAACATCCTTGATAGGGTCGTGATACAACCTGCGCTGCATGCATGTAATGCGGATTGCCGACCTCTTATATTATTTCTTATTAAATTTATAAGCCGCGGCTTAGTAAGTAGTTATTTCATTGAAAGAAACTCACCCGTTAAAAACGACGACAACCATGGCCTGATCAGGCCGAAGAAATGCGACCGCCTGGAGGGCACTGGGTCCCTTCTGCCGACCAAGGTGCACCCTTTTCGAGCCCTCGTGGATGAATTTTGAAAAGTGGCCCAGAGCGTAAAACATGGGCTGTTTGTAGAATTCCTGATTCTCCTCGTCCACAATGATCGCCGAGTCGACAAAGTTACTTGCCCAGTTTGGCCCACCAGTTTTGTCTAGTGCAAAATTCCAGTCGATCCAGCCAGTGACCCAGTGATTTAAATCCTGATTTTTAAGATTGTTAGTTTATTTGATTAAATTGTTTTATATTTCAAAATTCATACTTCAATTATATCTCTGGTGTACATTTCGCCCCTGGCCCACGAACCCAGCATTACTTTTTCCTTCTCCCAAGGTTTGTCACCTAGATATAAAATTAGAGATTTTTTCTTTTAATTTTTTAGTTTAAATCTCACCAACACAAGCTTCCGTCCCTAAAATAAATTTTTCCGGGTATTTCAAGTGCGTCCGAGTAAGTGACTGCGCAGGGTAGAGAGTATCCCAGTACCAATGCACTCCAATTCCATCGATGTACGACTTGGCGTCTTCGTTTTGGAAAACCTTAAATTTAATTTTTAGAAACTTTTAGTAATATATCAAAATTGAAAAAAAAAAAATCTTTGTACCAATTCAATCCACCAGGGAAGCAAAAATCTTTGATCGTCCAGTGCTATTAGTTTAGTCGCGTTGTGTTGCGAGTTTCTCAACTGAGGGCCTAAATTATTGGCAATCCAGTCTCTGTGGGCTTGAGGACTCCAACCCAAGGAGTTGAACCTGTTAATGGGGATTATTCCGTTCAGAGGTTCATTGCCGGTCGTCAGACCCCAAAATTTCAAGTCGTTGTTTTTATATTCATCCAGGAACCTTCGAATAATAATTTGGTTAAATAAGCTGATGAAAAAAAATAAAATGCTTTAAAATTTACATTATATGGTATTTTGCCCAAGTGGCAAAAAATTCTTCATGCAGAAAGCCAAAGCCAGAAAAATCATTGTTTGTTTTCATCCACGGTGGTGCCGACCAAGCGGATGCAACCAGCTTTAATGGCTTCCCGCTAATTTCTTGCGCCCTTTTGATAATTGGAATCTGTAAAATATTGAATTAATTGTACTATAAATTACATTTTTTTTTTTAAATGCTTCACTTTGTATTCAAAATCTTCAGAAGTGAGATTAAAATTCGACAGGCTTGTATCATTTTCGCTGTCATCGTAGGTATACGTGCGTGTAGAAAAGTCGCAGCCACCAATTGGCACGCGTCCAAAGTTGAGCTCAATGCCCTCTGATGAAAAGTAGGATCTGAAAATAAAAATTCGAAGGAATTTAAAAAAAAAATTAAATCAGAAATTTTCTAATTAATTACGTATCTCTTGATTATAAATGTGAGGAATTTTTTTTAGCAGTAAATTCATAATTTTTCAGTTTCATATTATTATTATTATTATTTAATTACTTCAAAAGCGCGTCTTGCGCCTCGGTGTTGTTGAGTTTCAGCAAATTTAGTCCTGCGGAATCAGTAAACGCGGTTCCAAAGCCAAACACCTTTTGAAACGTTCTGTTCCTGTTCACGGTGAATTTAACTCCTGCAATTACGCAATTTGCGATATTAAATTAAATTAACCCTCAAGCAGCTCATGCTTCGGAGTTCAATTATAATGAAGATCATTTATCATTATGGTTTGGATTTATTACCACTCGGGATTGTGCTGTTGGAGAAATTCCCCACTGATTTTTCAAGCCGCAGGCCATCAATCGATGATGAGTATATGAGGAATTTCCCGGCGGCCACTTTATCTGCCGGCTCGATGGTGTCGCAGTAAGTGGAATTGCAAACGCACACGGTTCCGCCCTTGTTGAAGTCTTTTGGGACGCACGGATTTCTCGCAAAGCCTACAAATATTATAAAAATTTGTTTTAGATTAATTTAATATAAAATATTTATTTGAAAATTCTAATCAATTATAATTTTTTTAACGAATTTGATTTGGGATGAAATTTTTAGTTATATAAAATACTTACTTGTTGAAGAATACAGAAGAACTATTAATATGATGCTTAAAATCATTCCAGGTTTGTTTGAGAGCGACATATCGTCCTCGCTGTGCTGCACCAATTATCAATAAATCAGCTCATCAGAGCCATGGAATCAATTTAGCAGGGAGGTGACGCAAGACGCAATGATAACTGTGTGTCTTCATACGAGATGAAACCACCCGAGCTGTTATGCAAATGTCAGTCACTGCGCGCTTCTTCTATGTGTATCAGAGAAATTTCAAATGCAATCAAATCTCAACCTTAACCTACGATCACTGAGAAATCAAGAGCAGCGTGTGACACTCTTCAGCTGAGAAGACTTTGAACACTATTACGCGTTCTCAGGCCGCGAGTATAATGCGAAGCGAAAAAAGAGAAAGTGGTCAGCACGCTGCAGGACTGATTTAATTCGTATTATATACGTGCTGATGTTAAATAATAAGCGGCGAGGCGCACTTCGGTGTGTGTCACATTACGTTGCCTGCTAATTTTCCTCCAGTGATGCAAATGCGTGTGTGCCATAAATTTTTTGGAACAACTCACAAGTGGTGTTGATGTAATATTTCGAACGGGCTCTTGGCGTTTTAAAGATTAATGACGTTTCTGGTCCAATGCCAAGCAGTAACTGCGGGGAGCAACTTTTTCTTCTCCAGATGTCAAGTTTAGACCGTTTTTATGCATGTTTATACAGCTGCGTTTTTATTTCAAAGTAGTAGTCTTTCGACACATGTTGAAGTTACAAAACATAGAGCCGCGTGATCTAGTTCAACTTTTTGCTTTCAATTATTTCATTTAAAAAAATATTAGTCTTAATTAAGGGAGTGTTAGCAAAATAATTTATAAATTTTAGTACGAAACAAAGAAAGATTTATATTTTTTTTTTCAGACTTAACCTCAATAATCACAATTTTCAGTTACGCAAAATCATTGTGGATAAATGCTTTCCAGGTGATGGGCAACAGGCTTGGTGGTTGCTGTGCAAGTGGGATGAACTTGGGAGTGAACACTCGATGAATCAACGCTGGTGCCTCTTTCATAGCAAAATACAGCTAAAGTTGACATTTTTTCATTAATTCAAAATTTTAAATGAATAAAATTAAGTACCGTAATGGGGTTCTCAGGATAGAACTGCTTGGCGAATTTCATTCTTTGCTTGATAGCTGGGGCCGATTTTACTGGCATCATAAGTTCGGCAATAAGGTTGGATACATTTGCCATCGATGGCATCTTTTTCTCATCATCCAACTCTTCCAGGTATGCAGTGAACTGGGCCAAGCCCATGGCGATGAGGCTAAAATTTATTTTGAATTTTTTTCACTTCTCTTGAATGAAAAAGCTCACCAGTCTTCAGACAATAGAAAAGTTTGATGCCTCTGTATTGGTTGTGGGTGGAATCCGCAATGTGGGAGAAGTGTCGGATAAACAAATGCATTGCTATTACTAATTATCTTGAGGAAGTTCACATTCAAATGAGGAACATAAACAAGTTTCTTCTTTTTCAACATTTCACACCTCTCCTCCTCATTCAAGAAAAACCTGCAAATGATTGATCAAAATTATTAATCTGAAGAAAATTTTTGACGTGGAAAAAAACTCACTCTTTAAAATTTTGTTTGATTGTACTTGATTCCCATAACTTGTCCCAGTCAGTAACAGTCTTTAAAATCAGATCCAGATTTTGAGCGTAAAATCCAGAAGCTGGATTTGTTCCTCCAAGGTATTTGAGTGACATCTAGCAAAAAATATAAATTGAGGACAAAGTTAAACAATAAATAAAAATATTGCACTTACGAGATTCTCTTTCATCTCCTGTGCCTGCAAAGCCATTTTAGGGTTGATCGTGCACTGCATGTAGTTCTGGGCCAGCAACTGGACATGCTGCATCATTTGCTGACCTAGCAAAAGTCTTTGGCCTAACGTGAAGATGGGCAACTCTTCCGAAACATCCTCAACCAAACCGTGCTCCTCAATACAAGGCAGCGCATTCTCATTTGCAGGAGGGAGCTATAAATAAAAATAAAATTATCTAGGCACAATTAATATAGTCTCCAGATAGCTTACATTTTCTTGTTCTTGTGCAGCAGTAGGTGGATTGGCCGAGGTTTTCAACGAAGGGGGTGTTCCGGGAACAAGGAATTGTACTAGCTGAGGCGAGTTTTGAATCAGTTGAAGAACTTGTGGGCTAGTTTGGACAACCGTGTGCACATTTGTGTTCAAAACTTCAGAAGACTCGGCTGTGGTATTCGAATTGAACGGGAGAGTTGTGTCAGCCTCAGTTTCGTCGTCGCTGGGTTCCATGGACTCCATCAGTTCCGATATCAGTTCGTTCAATTCCTTTTTTGTAACTTTCACAGCTCGATCTGCTCGCAATTCCTCCTTATCCTCTATAAATTGGTTTAAATTTAGAAAATATACAAAAAAATTTATTTGAATTATAAAACACATAATCAGATAAAAAAGATAATAAAATAAAATCTTTTTCAAGAAAAACATAGGTTTCCAATAATATTCATGTATTTTTCTCATATTTTAAAAACCAAAAGTTCAAGTGTTTATTACAAACCTGCTTCCTCGTCATCCAGAATGTTGTACTCTGGATCAGCCTCATCATCGTCAAGTATGTCATGAACAGCATCTGAGTTAAAATAATTAAGTATCCCAATAATTCACTTATTCAATTTGAAAATTACTCAGAGGTTTTGTAAATTCGTTCAAGAACTGTTTCCAGTCCTCGTTGTCGCACTCAGTTTCGTACATGTCCGTCGTAATGTCTGGCGGAATGAAAGACTGCTCGATTGTTTCCAAAGGAGTGTCAGTGAGGGACACTTTGGACCGAGTTCTCATGCCGACAGTCTCCATCAACTCGAAATTTGTGTTGGGCATTTTGAAGAGACCGTCTTCGGTCCACGTTGTTTGAGTGCTGCAGTCGGCAATGGACCTGGGAGTTGTTGGTTGTGGGGTGAGGGCAGGTTCAATGTCACTCGCCAAGGATGAATTGCATTCATCTTCACTCTAGATAGAAAATTATTTTCAATGTCATAAAACAGAAAGTTTTCTCATAAAAATCTTACATTTTCAGCCTCGTCCTCATTCGGCTGATACTCCTCATCGTCACTGGAGTCGTCGTGAACTTGGTCAATTAATTTTTTTGTGGCCGAGCCAGGAGTAGCTTTTGCGGGCGTCACAGGCCAAGGAATTGGCGTTTGAGTCAGCAAGAGTTCCCTGCAAAAAATTTTAAATTTACTAAAAAACATAAAATTTGGAAATCGATTTACTTTGTTTTGGCTCGAGTCAATTTCGGTTCATATGGGAATTCGTCATCAGTACTGCCTGCCCCATCACCTTCCTCTCTCATCGACTTCTTGACCATTGCCAAGACATGTTGATTGGTAATTACGTGCTGCGAGGATTTGAAATAATTAAAATAAATTACATACAAATGCGTTATTAAAAACATACTTTGAGAATATTTTTGACGTTGCCAATGGTGAGTTTACTCTTTTTTGCCTTGCTTCCAAGCTGCTGCTCAATCTCGTCCTCAAACTCCTCGAGACCCTGAGACACAAATTGCCTGGTGGCCTCTTTGGTTTTGATTCGACGCGGCCGTCGTGGTTTGGAAGAAGGTCCGGGAGACTCGTCGATCGTCAGTTCATCGTCCGAAGAGTCCGTGAAAGCGTCCGAATCGCCGCGGTGATTAATGCGAGCTTCTGCAGACGCTGGTCTCTTCACATTTCTTGAACTGCCCATTGCCTTTTTCGGGGTGCAGAGCAAAGGGCTGCTCGTGCTCTTCTTTTCCTTGCCATCAGCCATCGTCACGGTCAGAAGACTATCCAACTCATTTCGGAAACTTCTGAGGTCAAACAAGGTCAAAGGCAAAGGGCGAAACGAAGATTTTGAAGAGGACTAGTGGAGAACCGTGTTTATTTTTCTGTTGTTGTTGTGTTTTTGATTTGACTTTTTCCACAACAAAGGGGCGTGGCTATTATGAACAAGATTCTGTTAGTTCATAAAGTTGTCGCTAGGCAGAAGTTGATTTCAAACCATAGGGAGAGGGAAAGTGGCGTGCTAAGCACAACATTGCCCACGTTTTGCGATTTTGATCATTTATTTTTGACAGTTTATTACCCTTCTTTCAAACAGTGCTTCTTTCATTTTTTTCTATAAAAAATTTAAACAAACATTCGTTCACTCATGACATGATCATCTCATCACGGATTATTTCATCAAATTTTATTAACAAAAAATTAATAATAATAAATGAATATTTTGAATATTTCAAACAGCAAAAAAAAATGTTTTGAAAGTTATTTACGGTTCCAAAAATGAAAGAATTATTAAAATTATTAAATAAATAAGTGGTCGGATATGGTGAAAATGAAACTCCAAATTTTCTTTTCTGCGCGCAGTTTGAAGCTGCACTGAAAGGCTACTTTGCTTTATTTCAAAAAATATAACAAAATGTAGGACAGTACCATCAAAATTTATTAGTTTTCATCATCTTCATCTTCATCATCATCATCATATCATCATCATCACCTAAAGTGTCAACAATATTTATGTGATTTTTGAAATTTCATGATTTTCCTTAATCATCATTTTCCCAGTTTTTCTTGCTATTTTTCCTTTCGAGTGTATTTTTTGTGAGAAGCAAAAACGCGTACAACAAAAATCAAGTGAGAACGTGTGTCTCGCTTATCGTCTCGTTTATACAAAAGAAGCTAAACTATATTTTGCTCTTGTTGTATTAAAGATGAGTAGTTACTCGATTTCTGTTTGCTAGGTCGTTAACACATAATTAAAATTAAACGCATTTAACGTTACAAGAATTAATTAATCGCATTAATTCATTCATCGCATCTCTCTATTAGTTGATTGTGATAAATAAACCATTATCTTGTAACAATACTTCTCGCCTACATTTCTTGTAATGTGTGTGTGGGTGTGTGTTTCTCATCATTTGTGTGTGTATGTGTTTTTTTTTTGTATTGTGTTTCTCGCATTAATTAACCTCTTTTCAGTTATATATTTACAACTCGGAAATATAATTTTTCTGCTTATAACTCTTTCTCTAACAGCAAAAAAGTCTTTTCTGTAAAAATATTGCAGTAGATATTTCTGGTCAACTATCAGAAAGGAAATTTCCTCTTCAGAAGTCCAACTAATCTTATTTATAATAACCGTACATTTATTTCGCAGTTACAAACGAATAATTTAATATTAATAATAATCTTCTTCACTCACATGTGGCCACCGCTCTGAAATTTGAAATTTTTGTTTCTTCATTTAGGTAAACTTTTGCATTTTGCCAATTAAACCAATCGTCCGTGTGTGTTAAAACTCTAGGTCTCAAGAGGTCGTTTTATAAATGAGGATTGCAATCAATTAACCATTCATCTCGCATTAGCTTATAAATATAAAATCACCTAATCACCTATGTTAAATCAGCGTCAGTAGCAGGAGTGTGAAATTTTGTGTGTTTTTTCATTATTTATAACCTCTGTTTTTCTCAACTAATCGTTTGATATACACAAGAAATTGCTCTCGCATTGATAAGTTTTGTTCATTCTTTCTCGTTTGAAATGGCGTCTGATTATACAAATTATTATACGGTAATTAATTATAATAGTACAAGTTGAAAAAATCGTCGCATGCGTTTTACAATACACGCTTATTATTATAGAAAGTTGGACTAAAGTTTGTTTAATTAGCAGCTCAGAAAAGGTTTCGCCACCCAAGTGCATTTATAATAATTAATAATTATAATCATTGGATCGTTTTTTATTGAATAGAAATATCAAACATACGTACACGCTGATATATCCGACCGTAGATAAACGAATGAATGAACTTCAAACAGTACTTTGAGATGATTTTTGATGAAAGTGCGATGGAAATGAGTTCTCGCTGTTTTAATGCACGCAAAAGTGGAAACACCATGTGGAAATTCTTCTCTTTCCCCTTTAAATTCATTCCAGAAGAGTGGTTATGTGTGCATTTTCCCTCATTTTTTGTGTGTGTGTTTTTGTGAGTCAACAGTAATAAATCCTTCCTTGGCAATTAAGTTAATTGTAATTCATAATTGAATAATATACATTTTGCAAATGTATGTACAGAGATAATTATATTACGCTCAAAAACGTGTGTTTGCGTTTGAATAACGAATCGTTATCAACGATCAATTATTGCAGGCTCAAAAGGCTAATCGATTCTTGACTCTCACTTTGGTTTGTCTTTCTCTCGTGACACAAAATCAAATACTGCGACGAACGCGTCAGTATTCTTACACTAATTTGAGATTACTGCTGGAATTAAACGAACATTCATTTTGTGCATTGTGTCGAAGTCGCAATGTATAATTTTGATAATAAGTGAAAACATTTACTTTTTAATATAAATTCTGAATACAATATGTGGAAGGGTTGAAGAAATTTGTTTCTAGAAAATTCAAATGATGGGATGATATTAGGTCAGAAGGGTAAAATTTTCAAGCCAGAGGTTGAATTGTATAATTTTTAATTTTATTAATACTAAAATAATTAAGTCATAAAACTACACACAAAACTAGATTTTGGCGCGCAAGCTTTCTCTGCCTGCAGACCAAACACGTGGATATAAATAATAAAGTAAAATTAAAAAGTGAGAATTTTAGTGTTTTAAAATTATTGCAAAAAATTGCGATTTTTAAGTGGATAAGTGCATATTTGATTAGGACACAAAGAGCACATAAGACTTTCTGGTGTTAAACATCAAATTTTAATCAGATGGACCAGCCATATGAAGAGCAAAGCCAAAAAACCACTCATTTTCAAGCGCAGAAAAGGGGGTTTGTTACGTAGAAATCTGCATAATATAATAGAGTTTATAAAGTGAGAAAAACAAATATATATATGCTCGCAACAATAGATATATAGACCTTGCAAAGAATTGAGAAAACGCGTTTCTTTTACATTGATGCGTGTTTTTAGTAAAATACTGACAGGCTTTCGTTTTAACTGTTAATACCACATTCTTTTCATCACCATCGCGCTGCCTTCCAGTTTTTGTGTGTGTGTGTGAGATGGGGTGTAAAACACAGCTCTCTAGTGTAGTTGGTAGTAGTTTTATTTTTTCACGTTTTTCATCGTTTTTATTGAGCATGCTAAATTGTAATTTATTCTGATCTCTCAACGTTGCTTAATTAAACTCTGCTTCATTTCTCTGTGTGTATTAATTTTTAATCCTCTTTTAAAGCTACTTATCTCTTTGTATGTATCTAAATATTGCACATTTCTAATAAATATATATTATACCATTTTCAACTATACGCTTATGTAATAAAAATCAATCAATCAACACGCACGCATTCTCCTCAGTTATCCTCTGTCAGCTCGAAAGTCAGTGAAGCTGTGTGTGACTATTTTGATTTTTCCTGGAGTGATGACCAGAAACGACAACTTATTCAGAAACGGATATACAGTAAAAATTTGCAAAAACCATCACTCCAAGATCACAAAAACGGAACGAAATTCATTGATTTGAGATTAGTTTCCTAAGTAGAATTCATTCTCAAGTTGAGCACAATCGAACCAACTGCTAAATCAATTCCCGCTTCACCCTCTTGTTATCATTTATAAAAATGAATCACTATTCCCATTTCGTGTTTTATACAGTATTTGTTGTTGTTCGTTTCTTTCATTTCGCTTCGTTAATTATTCCGCATCGCCGTGTTACTTTTTTCAACGAGTAACAATTGAACACGCGCGTTTTGCTTTTTGCTAAAATTACAACTTATACGTAGCCGACGCACACCAACTTACAGATTTACGTTTTTGGTTTATTTCCCTTTTCCTCACAGAGATAGCACTTAATGATAGACTGTTTGTTTTTCTTTTGCATTATTCCTCTCTCTCATTATTCTGTTAATTTCCCTCACGTAATTAAGCATTGCGCCACTATTTCAGCGGAAGAACATAGAAACACAGCCACCTCTTCACTTTTTCAATGTGTGTTGCAGAGGTTATATGAAAAACAACTATATTTCTCTTATATTTCATTATGGGCCTAAAAAGGTCTCAAATACAAGTAGAACAGACGCGCAAAGAAAATTCTACTTTTTTCTCCTATCTAAGTTTTCCATATCACTAAGAATTCTCTCCTCGACTCGGCGCACAGAGTTAATTTTATTTACGGCCGGCAGCTGCTATTGTGCAGTGCACAAAAGTATGTGAATCAAATAAACGCTACAGAATTAACTTTCTGGTGGGTTTTAAAAGCCATTTTAGGTAAATTTTAAATTGTTGAACTGCAAAGGACATTTTCCCAGTTGACTGCAGTTTTTGAAAAGAAAAATATAAATATTTGTAAATACTGGTAAATAAAAATTTTAATTAGTACAACACCTACATTTGATTGCTAATCGTTTAATTAATGATCAAAATAGTAAATTGTTTTATATTTTTATTCAATTTAAAACCATTTTGGTTAGTTTGTTGTGCGGTTGCAGTCAACTGTGATAATGAAAAATTTGACTAGAAATTTGTCTATGGAATAAAAAAATTGTATTAAAAAGTTTAAAAATTAATGAAATATAAAAATAAAATATATGAGAGTAAAAATTATTTAACTAATTAGGATAGATTACAAACTAAATTAGTAAAATTAGCACATATAAAAGAATTCAATAAAATCAGAGGAAATAAAGTTTGTATGAATTCCAATTTAAAAAATAGACAATTAATGTGGATATTTTATATTTAAAATAAAAACATCAATAAGCTTAATGCTAGTTCTTGAAAAAGAGATAACAGAGTTAAAATTGAAAATGCGAGGGAACTATAATGAAACCTAAGTAAGTCTCTTACAATTAGTTTGATTGAAAATGACAAAATGATATAAAATTTCACTATGTAATTAAAAAGATTATAATAATGTCAACCTTGTTTAAAATTTGAGCGTTTCAGTTCATTTACAAAGGGCTAGTTATTGACCAACTTATTAATTCGTACTAACCGAGTTTGCCGAGGAGGAGACTTTTCCCTAATAATGTTGAACGACATTGACTAGATAGCACATCATTTTGTTCCAAAAAGGGCGGGTCGTGTCAGCTTTCAGTAATTGTTCTTACTTTTTGGTGTGTGAGTGTGTGTGAGAGTGGTGAATGTGTGTTTTTGTTTGTGTTCGCGCGGTTTCTCTTTCATCCTTCTGCGTGGGAGTGTGGGGTGTAGAACTAAAAAGATGAAGAAGCGCAAGGCTGCTGTCTGTGGTGAGGCGTATGGCCCCCGGAGGCGGGCATGGGGGCCATGTTTCTCCTTTGTCAATGGAACGAGGACTCGCGGTGGAAGGTGTCGGACTTGTGGAACGCAGGGGGCCCGCCTCTGCTTCCCACGTGCAGCTCCTGCGACGAGAAGTTGCTCTCCGACTTTGGCCGCGGCAAGTTGAGTCGGTGCAGCGTCTTGCCCAGCAGCGGCCCAGGGTGCATCGACTCCTCGGAGCTGGACACGTGGTCGGCCTGCTCGGCCAGCGCATTCACAACGGCGCTTATTGTTGTGCTCTCAGCAGTTTGTGAATCTTCGTCGTTATGTTGTGCAACCATTGCGGGATTCTTTCCGATCTTGTTCAGTCTGAAAATTGAAGTTTACAATTTTAGATTTTCGAAGTTCAACTTTTTATATTTTAATTACTTATTACATTTTTGGTGGAATTGGCATACAATGATGATAAATTAAAATAATTTAAAGCTGACACAAATTTTGGCAAGATTTTCCTATATTGGCTCAAAATCTTTACTGCAAACTTTGACATTGGAACAAGTAAAAAACAAAAATTTTACCCTATTTTAGAAGTAAATGGGAATGAATATGATTGCAAAATAGCAAAAAACCGGTGAAATATAGCATTTTTTTTAAATAAATTTTTTTAAATCAGTTTTTCGTCAGGGACTTTCAGTTTGACTCGTTCGCTTAAAAAATTAGTCCATAAATTATTTTAATTTAATTTTTATTTGCAACGAAATGCAAGTTAATAAATGTGAACTTTTCTTGTTTCATTTTAAAACGACTGGAAACGTCAAGATTTAAATGCTTCACTTATTAGACTCTTCTCCCGTGCTATTTCGACTAAATTTATTGGGAGCCAATTTCATGCAGAGTGGCAAGGTAAACACGCAGGCACTCAATTTCAAGTTGTTTGCTGACCTTTCAGCCGCGACGCTTTCCATAGTGCGCCGCATGAGCGGGTACTGGTCCAGCACCGCGTTGAAGTGCTCCACCGACAAAGAGAAGAGATTGCAATACGTCTCGGCTCTCACGCTGGCCACGCGCCGGGCGTTGGTCAGCAGGCAGATTTCGCCAAAGTACGAGCCATCACTGAGCGACGTCGCGACCTCGCCGTTGGCCATCACGATGTCAACGATGCCCTCCTGAATGAAGAACATCTTGTTGCCGATGGTTCCTTCTTTGATGATGATATCACCTGCAAGACCAGAAATAGTTTAAAAATCGTAGAAAAGAAATACATTTTTTCAATTTACTTCTTTTAATCGGCATTTTTTTTTAAATATAGCTTTCCAAATACAAATAAAAATGGTTTATTTAGAATCTTTGCCAACATTTCTATAAATTATTAAATGAAAATTATGTTTTTCACTTTCTCTTCAAAATTTGTGGAATGGAATAACGAACAATAAGGATTGTTAGTTGAATATAAAACTGTATTAATAAACATATTAAACTGTAAATATTTAAAATTTAATATGTTTATTAAATCCTGAAGGGGAAATAAAAAGAATGTGTCTAGTTGGCTAAATCTGGATATTAAAAAAAAAAAAAAATAAGTCTGACTCAAATTACTTCCGCTCACAAACAGTTCCAACTGGATGCTCTTTCACCTCAAATGTAGGTTATTCAAATGAGCAATAAAGATCCCAGGCCAACTACTGTAACTCGGCAAAAAATACTTTAAAAGGCAAGCGAGCGCATCAATTTACTGGAGTTGCTGCATTTGCGCGTTAATAACGTGCGCAAATTCGCATGGGGTGTATAGAAATAATTTTGCCGAGCTCTTGAGAGAAAATGAAAAGCTCAATGCCGGAGGAGGAAATAATGCAAACTTTTTTGGTATATACAAACCTGGTTGGAAAACTTCATATCGAAGTTTTGTGACAACATCAGACACAAAATTGGGGTCAGCATTAGCAAAGAAAGGCACTGACGCCACCAATGAGCGGCAGTTGTAGTTTATCACATCCTGCAAGAAGGAAAGACAATCGGCTTGATAATAAAAGCGATTCATCACAATTGTTGTAGGGAGCAGGTTTACTGGCAGCCCATTTCCTTGCTAAATTGGATGAATGGCCTGGCCTGACTGAGCAAGCGAGTTCATTTACGATTCCGACTCGACACCGAAACAAACTGCTTGGCCATTTTTCACGACTTATCTGTCAGGAGAAAAGTTCTTGCGAACTAATCTCACTTGTCAAAATCTAGATTAAACTTCTTTTTTCAGTTACGTCAAAGTGGATATCACTTATTCTGATATTGGAAAGACAGAAAGAAAGCAAAAACGTAAGGAAAAAATATAATCAGATATTCCATGGAATGTTGAAACCCCTTTGATTGTTTAACATATAATACACTTATATAATATACTTAAAACTTGACAAATTTGATGATTATGAAAAATACAACAAAATGACCTTAAATAAACAATTTGCTAAAAAGTTGATAAAAAAATTGAAATTATTATGTAACATATTTTTTTATGTTGGGTCAAATAATGCAACTGCCAGCAGGTATCAGTGTGTCACATTAATGAAGAGGAATGGTCACGTACCTCACGTAGTTTTTCAGAGAGCTCTCCAAGGATTGCCTCTTCATCGAAGAATTTCCCTTGGTAGCGGTGCTCAAAGTACTCTGTAATTCGTTGGCGCATTTCCCTCGGCAGTTTGCGGTATGCCATGTACTCCTCCACTTGCTTGACCTGGTACGAATGGAATCACACAAATAATCCACACTATTCTCAGCGCGAATCTCCCCAACACATTGGGCACAAGAATAATTTTTGAAGCAATTGCCAGACGCAATATTTACAAATAGGAGCAATTGTAAATGGCTTATTTTTTCTGATTGTTTCTCATAAACCTTTGCCATTACTAAGAGAGGATCAATAGCATGAAGGTCTTGCGGACCACCTTTTATCATTTGTTTGATGGATCAATTTTATTTCTTTCTCTTTAGAGTCTTTGGCATAATAATGTAAATAATGTTAAATTAAAATTTCAATATTAAATATTAGATCTTAAATGACCTATGACTATATAAAATTTAAATATAAAAAGCTTAGCAAAGTGCTGAACAATGAAAATTAATTTTATTGTAATAATTAAAATATTATAACGTGTAGAAATCAAGAAATATTGAAATCAATAAATATAAATAGAATAAAAAAATAAATGTGTAAAATAAATTTAAATTATGTAATGTTATTTTTTTTAATAAAAAAATTATTGAGTTATATTATATTATAATTTAATTTTTAAGAAATAATGACTTTGTAATTATTTTATTAACCTGTTTTGTTTAAATTGCATTTCTGCAAATGTGAAAACAAAAAATTTTAATCACACTTAAGACAACACAAGCTGTCGGAAAATCATCAAAGACTAGCAAACTTTTTTGTCGCACTTATGACACCCATTTCCAGTTCCAATGGAATTAACCGCCGCCTTCAAATGCAAAAATTAATGCTCGTTTAAAGTTATCTTGCGAAAATTTCGTTCTGTGTGGAGGCTCAATGGCAAGATCGATCAAAGGCTCGCGCGTCACACGCGAAATGGGTCCACCACCAGAGACTCCAAAATTAGCACGGCCAAATTTATAATGTGGCTTTATATATACGTATATTTTTTTTGGACAGCAGGAGAAATAAATTTTTATGTCGGGTTTCATGGAATTATTTTTGGCTGACACGAACTACTGAAACCTACGTACCTGCCGTGTCTTTCCGGCCAAGATTAAATTTGTCCTCCCCAGAGACGTACTATTTTAATTTTATATGCGAAAAAAATTCTCAGCTCTGGGGAAATTTTCCATTGACTTAATTTAAGAAAGTAAGAAATCTTTATTTAATTAATTTTAAATCCGATTTTAAAATTTAATCGACACTTCAAAATCACTTCTTACTTCCTTCTTAAGAAATATTAAGTTATTGTTATATTTCCTGCCTTCTAAAATTTCACTCAAGCGTTTTTCTCGCTTGTCCAAAAGTTTCGCCGCCCCAAAGACTGGCCGGCCTGTCTTATTGTGCGACACAAGAGTGGCTGTCAAGAGAAAATAATAAATCGTTCCACCAAACAATTCAGATAAACTGCGGTCGATTCTGTCGTGGTTTAAGTATATAGTACGACGGAGAAAAGAAGACAGAGCACACAAGTCCCTCAAGCTACTGACCTTCTCGCGGTACTGGCGGCGCGAGGAATCGAGACTCTGGATGAGGTTGGTCGCGTGTCCCAGAAAGAGGGCGTAGCACGTCGCCCCGCTTATCATGGACAGCATGGTGAGCCACATGTCCGTCAGGGACTGCGGGGGAAAGCGGCCGTAGCCGATGCACAGCATGTGTGACATGGCCTTGAACAGCGCCCACGAGTACTGCTCCAGCCAAAACGCCTCCTGCGAAATTTGTTCAAAATTTCAATTTGTACTTTTTCAAGTTTTCTAAAAATGGAGATCTGAAATTTAATTCAATTTAAAAAAAAGTATATTGTGCTTTTACCCTCTAAATTAATTCTGGTAAAGCTTGTCATGATTTGTATTTTTATAATAATTTAAGACGTCTGTTTCCCTTTGTTCAGCTCCGATCGATTGCGCCGGTGGGTGGGTATGCAACCGGCTGCGCACACGTGCTCGGCAAATTGCCTAACTTTTTAGACTCTCCCGACGACAATATACTTTTTCTTTTTGAGCAGTTAGCAGCCCTAAGTTTGGGACGTTACGGGAGTTTGGGATTAGGACGTTGTTTGCGAATCACCCAAAGTTGGTTCGTTCATTGGGCGACGCACAGGAATCGATACGGATTTTGTGGTTGATTGGAAAGTTTGGTAATCAAAAATTAAGATTTGGCGCCAATATGAGCGCTCAATCAATTTAACGATGATATTAACACGAACAACAAGTATTCAGAGGTGCTAAATTTTTAATTTTGATTTACCTGTAATTCGTTGATTGCAACCCAAGAGTTTGAGGGGAATCCTTGCAACATTGGGACGAGGAATTGAAGGCAACCCGACCAATGACCTATGAGGAGCATCATGCAAATCAAGTTGAAGATCCGCATGAACACACTAGCCATGTTGAGGAACTGCAAACAAGAAACGGGAACGCATGTCCAGGGCATGAAAAATTAATACCAGCAGAAATATTGTGCTCTTCGTTCATCTTCGTTTTTTTTTCTTTAATTCTACTAGCAACTACCACAAAGAGAGAAGAGATTTGCTTTATCCTCGTGAGATAAAGAAAGAAAGTACACAAAACCACATTCAAACACACCTTCCGCTCGGTCCGCACTCACACAACAACATCTAGAGTTTGTAAATACTTTGTTATTTTTCTGAGATTTTCTTGTTGTATTTCAATAATAATTAATTTTTATAATAATTTTTCACCGTGTCATTTGAATTAAAAAAGCGTGAAATTAAAATTATAAATCATAAAGTTTTGGGCGTAAAATTATGAAATGGGTATTGCTGTATTCGTAAGTTTCCTGTTTAAATGTTGGTCTGAAGATGTCGATCGTCTCTTTTGTCATGCCCGAAACCGTCTCGAAAATCAACCCGGTTTGTGGTGATCACTACCGCATCTTTGTTTGCCAGTCCGATCTACAATCTAAATTCAATTGATAGTAGTAATGAGAAAAATAATGTCGCGTACCGTTGCTATTCCATCTAAGTAAGTAGGAAAACTTTTCTAATTAAATAACATGTTAGCAGCAACAACATTAAAGTATACGGAAAGTCAGTATTAATTACCAGCACTACTATTACAGAATACAGATGAATTGATGAGATAATAGATATAGCACTTTGTTCAGTTAGTTGGATGTATTTTATATAATTACAGCAGAGAAGAGAGGACTCTTCGATATTTTTATATGTATTATTTTTTGGAAGAAAGAGAGTGAGACAGAAAGTGGAAGTAGTTTAGCTTCTACTCAACTATATGAGGATAAGAGACGCGTGCTCTTCAACTTGTTCTAACTCTAAATTGCACTGACACTTGACAAACAGATAGTTTCTTATTTTTTGTACATGGGGCAAGACTTCTATTCTGCTGTACGTTTTGTGTTCGAGCTTCTGTTGTTTGTTTGTGTGTGGTTGAAGAGAGAAAGAGAGGGTTGGATGAGTGGCTATGTATATGTCGGTCGGAGAAGACAGAAAGTGAGTGAGTGTCTGTGACTACTCGAGAGATGGGTATAACATTAATTACACGAAAATAAAAACATGTGAGAGAGCACGAGCGAAGGACTGTTTTTGTAAAAAGGAGAGAAATAATGAGAAAAAGAAGCGACTCTCAAAGCACTTACTATTCTTTGAGGCGAGATACTCACAGATCTAATGGAGTAGTTTTATCTCTAAAACGAAACACTCGACTCTACTCTCGTTAAAAGCAACAATTTCGATAATTCTTACATACGCTAATGAGGCACCGAGGAAATATTATTATACATTTGAGAATAAAAAAATAAAAGTTGCACACAGAAAAGGTTCTGTCAAACATTTACATCAAATTGAAACTCTGATAAAAAGCTCGGTATTTATAATTATTTATATATGAAAATAATAATTTGAGGCAGCAGCAACAATGCCAGCACATTCAGCTTGATGATCATCTTTCTGAGCTCTTTTAGCATTTTGAACGTCCTATTTATCGTATTAACATGAACAGCAACTCCAGCAACAAAAAGCAAAACAATGTAGATCTAAATTGTTGTGGCTAATGTTGGTGGTAAATTAGCTCTGGGGATGATGGGAGATGAGAATATATTTCTCGGATTGGCTTGCTTTGTTGTGGTGAGTTTTGCAGATAGAAGATTGCATTAAATTTGTTTCAAAGAGATACAAATAGCTCGCCGAACGAAAACAGTGAGGTGTTATAACTTTGAAAAAGCAGCTTGTCGAGAACGGCTGTATGAAAAAGCCAAAGTAGTTGTGGCAGAGAAGAAAGAAATTTTGAAAAAGTGATCGACTGTTCGTTGATTGAATAATCGAAAAGCGTATCATGGTGAGTAGTCAAATTAACGCAAAATCAGCAGCCATGCAGCAAGCTCTGTTAAAAAAAGTTACATGCGGCACGGCGGGCGGAAAGAGCGGCAGGATTCGCGCGTGTTTTAGTTTTTCATTACGTTTCAAAATGACCTTCCTTTTCGCAAGTTTCCTAATTTCTTTGGAGGGGTTAGTCGGTATATAATTTTCATCTATATGTATATTGGAATCACCAAAGTATATAAATATAATATATTATATATGGAGTATGGAACAACAACTGTAGTTTAATATAATCCATAGGCAAAATCAATCAACTGGATGAGAGTATTCTTGTTGTTTTTCGGAGTTACCTTAAAAATGAGATTGCTTTTGGTGAACTTTTGCTTCTTTTTGCTTGAAACATCAGAGTTGAGGCGACCTCTCCTTTCTGTGCGCTTTTTTTGAAGGTTCTGCAAGATCTAGAAAAAAGCGAGAGAAACACGAGATAGAGAGATGCAGCCTGCACTAGGATTGTTTTTGGTTTAAATGAGAGACAGACTGACTCTAAGAGCTGTTGGAGGTGGGTAACTTGGTTTCATTCTTCTTTCTCGGACCCGTTTTCTGTCGTGCCAAACTTGCTTGCAATTGCTTGCGAGACTATATGTATGTATTATATAGAGCAAAGAAATGAATGAAGAGAAGAGAGGAGAAAAATTTAGCAGCGAGTGTCGAGAGAAAAATAGTCCAGTGCTCACTTCAGCAATTTATGAGGTAGGAAAAATTCTCAAAATATTTTAGTAAATATTTTTGTACAATCTACATAATAGAAAGAATCTTTTAGCAGATTTTTTTTTGCATTCTCAGTGAAGGCTACAGTCTATATAGAGATAGAATATAATATGTAAAATTTACGAAGTACCAATTTTGTTGCCAGCAAAAGGGGAGGAGAGTGAAGAATGAAGCAGAGTAAAATTTTTGTTTGCAAATTTTTACTCATTCTTCAACATTCAGTGGAGAGAGAACTCGCGACCTTTTGAGTCACGTTTAGTATCAAAAGTTCAACGAACACCAATTTAAGCTCAAGGCAAACAAACACCATACCAATTTGAAAAGGGGTGCAAGCAGAAAGTTCAATCACATGTACAACACCAGAGGTTGGCATGCCAGAACACGTACCAGATACATTTTATCATAACATACATAGAAAAGGATGAAACATGACCAGAACCGATCGGAAAACGAGAAGGAAAGAAAATAATATTGATTCATTCAGGCATGCAAATCATAGATAAAAAGATGTACAAAAGGATTTTGAAATGAGTGGCAGTAATGATAAAAATTAATGAAAATATATTATTTAAAATATTCTGAATGTTTCAACTAATAATTAATTTCTTAACATAGCTGATTTCATGTTAATATGAAAAGAAAAATTAGTTAAATACGTTGAGATTTAATTAATACATTCCAGAAATTATCTAGACGAGGATTATTCTTGATTAAGAGAATGTTTCTAAAAGTAAGTATATCGAAAGAAGTTTCTTAATTGTTCCGTTTGCACTTGCACGCAACTTTGCCCTTTAAAGGCCGACCGAAACTTGAAGGGAGCGAAAAAGAGCGAGAACACGGCTAGGGACGTGTGTGTGTCAGCCTTGAAATTGCAAAGCCCTTTTATTGATCTAGTCTATTACGTTGTCACACGAACAGAGCATGAATTATAATTACAGTTTGCAAGTCTCATGGATTTTAATTTATAATAAAGAGATATTTCGTGTTCACAAGGGAGGAGGTGGCTACAGCAGCAGCAAGGTATATAATATAGAAATGATTAATGTACAAAAAGGAAGGGCGGCACACTCTGAGAGGAAATAAGAGAGTGATGTGAAGGAGATTTGCATGTGGGGAGGAAATATTCCAAAAAAAGGGCTCGAGACACTATATCGAATAAATATATATATTTGTAATATACGAACGAGTATGTATATAATGTACACAGCTTGAGAGAAAAATAGAGTTTGAGAAGTGGAGAAGCAAAGCGCAAAATACAATTTATTTGATCAAATATTACTTGGAAAAATGTTGAGGGAGGAAAATGTATGTACGAGAAGGCCTACTTTATTTTTTTTTTCGTTCTTTTCTTCTCTCATACAACAGAAAGATCGTCCAAATTTACAAATAGCCTGGTAATTCATCTTTCCTTTATTTTCGTACTGGAGTAGAAGGTATGTCGCGCACGTTCTATTCAGCAGCACGCAGAGAGATGGATCGTCCAATCACGTGACACTCGCACATTCACATTAAAGTCGTCCGTCCGACCGAGGAGGCGGAAAAGGTCCTATAGGGTATTAGGATGATTCATGACTTTCTTCAGATCGGCAAATAATAATGACGTCATTTGCAAGGATTTTTTTTATGTACATCCCGAGGTCAGGGGGCCGCGGCTTGACGCGGGGTGATAAATTCACCGATGATGCGTGAAAGGTCAGTTGACAGACATAAAATGCGCGCCTCCTGATGCAGCACAGGAGAAATTTATTGCTCAAGCCATGTCAAGCCAGCACAAAATTATAACAAAAAAATAAAAACGAGCATGTGTACCGCTGCGGCGAATGCAAATTTTGCTTCACAAACTAAAAAAGAAAAAAAAACAGAAAGCTTGGCTCGTTTTTCGTCGCTGATTTATTTATGGACTGAAATAATCCTGTCCGCAGGAAGGGTGCAGGCAGGACGGCAGGGAGAGTTGGGTAATTTAGATTTGGCCACTGGATTATAAAAGCCTGCGGGGTGATTTATGGGCTGTGGACGTGTGCGGCTCCTTTCTTATCGTCAGTTATAATATATGACAGAAAACATTCAGTTAACACCGAACATCCAGACACAAACTAATTGTCGGTAAATGTTGTAAATTCCTATGTATTTTCGTTTACCTGGTGTGGTGCAACAAAATTTCCCCCCATCAATTACCGAAACGAGTGATAATTTTTCATTTATAAAAAACAATGCATTTAAAAGTCCCCGACACTAATTTTTTAAATAACATTGAGGTGCACCACAACCTAATAAAACGACTGCATAATATTTGGTGTCTAATCTCTTTCCTCTGTCAACTTTAAATCTAAATTTTAAAACTAAACCAAGTGTTAATAATAATTAAAACGGAAGCAAAACTAAACCAAGAATCAGGGGTACATCGAGGGGATTTCTGCACTGCAACACCAAGAAATGAAGAGCGTGAACGATGCTGTGCTCTACGGGCATCAGGCTAGTACAGTAGCATTAACCTTCAAAAAATATCGATGATTAATCAATCAAATATCTTTACGAATATTCATAAAATGTTCATAAATATATATATAATTATATCAACTTGTTTAAATCGTAGACTAAACCGGCATATCCAAATAAATTAGGAACACATCGATTGAAAAACAATCATCACCATCGAGGGGTAATCTGAGACTGATAATATATAGAGTTAGATATCTGCACGATCATCATGGATCAACGGTTAGAATGCATTTCTAATATAATATAAATAGAGAATAGATAAATATATAAACGAGCGTTCATAGAGTGGGGTATGCACCTTTCGTGATCGACGCGAGCAATACGAGTGACATCCACTGCCACGCGGAGAAGATTCCCTATTGGATGATGCTTCGAGTGTGATCTAGAGATAGGTCCGGAAAGTAAAATATACAAAATGTGAAAAATGAGGAGTAGAAAAATTGCACTTCAAAAAAAATTGGTTCTCTTGTGGTAAAATCGAGGTAACAATATAAAAATCACTTTTTACAATCCTACTGAGGATCCAAACCAAAATAAAAACCTCGCAGAAGCCAATTGAGTTATTCGTTTTGTAGAATTTTTATAAGCTTATATAATTGATATACAAAAATGTATCACACAAACTCTCTCATACATACGATAAGTTTATAATCAATTAAAAAAGAGATATATAATAGTCACAAGTGTGTGAAATTTAGCTTGGGTTGTTTAGCATTATTTATCGAGGATCTAGAGTGCTTATTTAGCAAGGAGTCACACTGAATTAGCTGAATTTAATTTCCATGTAATTAGACATTCGGGGCAACAGGAATATATAAGGAGGCAGTATAGCGAAGAGATTAATCTAATTTTGCATTCCTTCAGCGCTAACTGCACTACAAAATAAGAAGCAGCAAAATTTGCGTTCTACCGCAAAATCAACAAACTATTATTTTAACGATTCTAGTGGTGAAATCTCTAAATTGCTGAGATGTCCAGAAGAGGAAATAATTAAAATGTTGAGATAAAAAATTATTAATATAAAGAAGCCGCGTTGAAATGATAAAAAAAAATATGCTGTGAATGGAAAGAAGAAGAGAGATTACGCCGACAAATTTTTATATTTATTCTTTTTTCCGTTCATCCTGCAAAAAAAATGAATCATTGTTTCTTGTCAGGAAATAAATTACCGCGGCTTTTCTCGGCAAACAAACAAACTTTTCTTATCTCTCCAAGTCTCTCCAAGCACAAAAAAATAAAACAATAAGTTGAGAAGAATCTTTCCTTTTGCTACTTTCCATTCGATTTTTCAAATTGATGGTGATATGGCGTCATTAATTTGCAAATGGGAGGTCTTTACTAACAATATAATCACCTTGATTTGTTTTGACTAATGCGACAAAAAACATAAATGGAATATATCTTCCTGATTATATCATACTAATTTACACAAAGAACACTACAAGACTATACAAAAACACACATAAAATCCTGAAAATGTAAGATATTTCCGACGATGATCCAAATGAAAATACTTATTAATTTAAACCAATTAAAAAGCCAATAACCAATGACTCTGAGCACAAAATAATGTTGCAATATGGAATATCGAATTTCATCAGGCTATACGGTCAAATATAAATATGACAATGCCGAATGCACATGATGTAATATAATAATAATCAACTCGAAATGAACAAAATATCCAAAAATGCAGAAACTAAATATCATCGAAACGGAAATATGATCAATCGCAACCCGGTATAATAAAGGTTCATTCAAAAAACCGACACATACACACAGAGTAGTAAAATTTCAGATAGGACAGTCAGTATCATAATGATAATATAATATAATGAGAGATGTCAGAGAGTAGCAGCAAAAAATAACGAAAAAAAATCGACTTCAATGAAGTTATTTAAAAATGATAAATAGAGGATCATGGTGATATTTTATTACTTTTTCAAGAGAGTATAGAGCGAGAGAGAATTCTAATGATAGAGAGAGAGAGGTTTGCAATATGTAATTAACAAGAAAAATAATACGAAATTCGCAACTCGAAGAGAAAAGATAGAATAGACAAAAGTGTAGAAAATTGTTTTGAATGCTTACGTATACTTCTTCCCATTGGCTAACATATCTCACGAGTCTTGAAAGTCGCAGCAGTCGCACCAAACTCAACAGCTTGGCGAGCCGCAGGATGCGTAACGCTCGGCCCGCGTGCAGGATTTGGAAACTTTCACTGAAATCCTGTCGCAAATAAGGTGAAACGATTAGAAAAAGGGGACATTACATCAAAGCACATTTGAACTTAAAAAGTGACGTGCAGCAATTCGGAAGCTTACACGAGCAGAAATAAAAATTTCAGACAAAAAGCATAGAAGCCAATTTCTTTTGAAAGAGAGATATTAACTTGCTTGAGTAGCGGAAATCAACAAAGTATGTGTGTATTTTTATTTTTTTTTTATCTCGTGGTGCGTTTATAGCGTGTGTGTGCCAATAAATTGAACGTCAAATTAATTTCTCCTCTACGTTTGATCTGCACTCGACGGCTTTCTTTCCTAATTGCTCTTCCGAGTGCCCGACTTGCTTTTTTTATGACAGCCGGCGCAAATTAAACTTCTGCTGCAGCGTCGGCGAGCTCGTTTTTTTTTACTTACTACAGAAAAATGAATGAGCGTTCGCGCGTCAGAATTTTTTGGCACACTCACGCATCGGACTTGTTTCAACGGACTTTTCAAATTCAGCAGTTGTCAAGAAAGTAAGATTTGATTTTTGCTGAAGATGGAAAGGTTTGAATGGAATTTCGAGGTTATTTGTAATTTATAAATAAATTAATCATGCTGAAGTGGAAAAGTCTCAGATTTTGCTGAGGTGCTGAAGAAGTGTGTTTATTGATTGGTTTTTTATATTCAAGTCCTTGAATTACTAACAATGCAGAAAGGCCCGGTGAAAATAAACAAGTATGATAAATAACCGTTGTAATAATATGCACATTATTGTACAACAGCCTATTGACATTATTGGCGCCGTTTTGTGGAGGTTTTAAGAGGGGTCAACACCAATGATTCTCACGTTAAACTAGATGTAGTATAACATTTAATTCTAAAATATCTGATAGAGAGGTGAATAACACTGATGGACCACTTGGCATATTGTAAGTAAGAGTTCTTAGGAACATCTAGTACTTTGGTGATCTCAGCAAAACAATTATTGTAATTTATGGAGGGGAAAACACCAAGACAGAGACGAATTCAAGGTTTTGAACAGCAGAGGTGTGTGGAAACTGACGAAATGTTAAAGATAAAACTCGTTTTATAAGATAGAGCAATTATTAATTAATTGAGTAATCAAAATAAATGTATTGTTCTTTTTATTGGATATTTCATTTAAGGTGCAAAAATCACTGAAAACACAGATTTTTAAGAAAAATTTATAAATCAAGATATCGAGAATTAACCTCAAATCAAATCATAATTGTAACATATTATGAAATTAGTGGTTTTTAAAAATATTTCGCACGAAAAAGTAAAGATTTCACCGACAAGATTGTTCTGCAAAGTAGGTCAGTGCATCTCTGTTTGTTTTCTTTTTAAATTTTCAAGAGTTTAAAAAATTCATCCCATCGTAAAATTGCAACTGTCCGTCTGCAAAACTAAGCATGACCTGCACTTCTTTAACATTTCATTAGTGTTAGAATTTCATGTGGGTTGCTGGTTGGTATCTAGAGAATGTTGGTTGCTTCTAACAAAAGTTGTTTGTGCAGCAATGTGTTCTATTCTATTCATAATCATTGTTCCCATAGAGAGAGCAGGCGACGCTGCATCATTTTACAACTGTTCTCACGATTACATTAACCTTAGCAAATCCATGTGGACTGAAATTGATGGTGTTTCTTCTGTTTCCATGTTGAAACGTAAAATAGCCAAGGTGCATGAACCTGTGATTGCGCAAGTACATAGCAAAAAGTCACTGCAAACGCCGCCTGGTCTCATTTGTCACTTGCATGCGAGCATTTATATATTTCTCGTCGCTCTACACATGCACTACTATTAACCTATATGAGTATACGGATGTTGTAAAAGCTGCTTTAGTGCACCTGAGAGGAAAACAGGTTAAGCATAGAATCACGCTAATCGCGCAACTTCTACATGAGCAGCAAGATTTTCAAAATTGATCATGCTGACACATGCAAAAATAGTAAAACACAACACTTATAAATAAAATGGGGCTTAATTAATTCAGCATTGAATTTTTAAACAGTTTTAAAACTTCTCAAAATATATTATGAAAAAGCTATAAACAGTTAATGAAATTATATTTGAAAAAACAATTAATTTTGCTTCAATAATCTATAAGTAAAATTAAGTTAGATGAAGAAGGGGCTTAAAAAAAAACATATTTGCTAGATTTGTGGGGAACACAAACTGCTTTGGTGACACATATAGCTAATTAGCATTACTCAGCAGTCTCGTCTTTAATAAATGGTTTTACAATATATGAAGCATGACCACATCAAGGGCGGGCGGGGGTAGAGATGACGGCGCCAATGAATGTCCTACCTTGCTCACCTGATTGAAGATGAGAAAAATATAATCTAAAGGTATCGAACTGATGAGGTCCAAGAAAAACCACGTTCTAAGGTAATGTCTCGCGATTAACTTAGGGTCCAAAATAACTTGCTCTGCGTTGTCTTGTTGCATTATACCTGTGAACATGCACAAAAACACTCCATTAGAAAATTAAAATGTATCATTTAAATAATAACTATTTTTTTTTTAATAATTATTTTTTTGATAAGTTTTAGAGCATCAATTTAATATCATTTGCGTTGGATCAGCACTCCAAAAAATTACTAGCCCTTTATTTTCACTACAGGATTTATCAGGATTAATTATAAATAAATTTTGGTCTTTTCTAGCCCTTGTCATTAAGCAATCACGCCCCACCAATTAAATCTCATCCTACCCATGCCTTTGTTCAAATGACGTGATGATCCCACAGCCCATTATATTTCACCCCTATCCCAGTTAGCAGCTCGGGTGCCTCGTAATTCACCAAAATCCGGACGTAATTTGCCCCAATTTGTGCGTTCATAATTCCAAGATAATTGAATAATTATTATAATTAATTTATATAACGAGCCGGCTGAATTATGAAACGCGCGGATTTTCGCTGCAGCTACGCATGAAGTGGTCAAACCTAATAAATCGTTGGCGGTCTTATAGAGTCGTGCGTACGCAGTCAGCAGAATGCCACTCGAGGGCAGGCACTTGACAGTATAAATCATTAAGGTTTTCACTCTCGCCATCAGCGAGGCCATTTATCACCAACATTGTTGGCCCAACAGCTCACATAATCGCATTTGCATGCTAAGCAAAAAGTTGCTCCGCACAGCGAATGCTTCATTGGCCCCGATATCGTAGCCATTCTCCGTATTCGCTGCTTGCTGTGGCAAAAACAGGAGCCCAAGCCACTCAAGGAAGATGAAATAAAAAATTAAATGGATTAAGTTCTGGCATTGTTAGTGATGGAAATTTAATTTAGGTTATTTTCAGAGCATAATAAATAAATTAATATTGATTGCATTTAAATTACATTATTATTATTATGTTATTATTTTTTCTCTTGAAAGCCAATAAGTTTAATTTTTATTGTTTTTATTGATCCATTTAAATGGAAAATAATAATTAAAATATAAATGACTTTGATTTGTGTGGAATCAATTCTAGTAAATTCCATTTTTCAAAAAAATTTAACTGATGTTTTAAAAAAATTTTTCAAAAACCAAAATATCAACAAAGGAAACTTTGAAAAAAATATAAGATTTAAATGTTACATTGCAACACCATCAACAATGCTTTTCTGACAATTGCTGTTTGACATGACGCAGTGGGAGGACGCCGCTTCCGCCCGCGTCAGATTGACCTTTCTGTGAAAAAATTCTTTGACGTAGGTAGCTGAAGGGTCATCGGCAAATAGATCCATTCCACGCGCTTTGACAGCCAAAGAATGGCTCGAAGATGATAAGTTTGCCAAGGGCGTGGTCTGCGTGCGAATTAACTGCGGAGAATAAAAAAGCTCTCACGGCCAAAATCCAAAATATAAAATAAAAAGAATGGCGATCCGATGTGTAGAAAGAGACTGCTTTGTCGGTTTATTATTTAGCAGGGTTGTGGGAATATTCAGGGACGTCATTAGCAAGCACAAAAGAATTAACTCCACTCGGATGAGCCGCACTCATTTCCCTTTGGGCGGCTTTTCGCGGAAAAAGCGGTGAGGATTATAAGCGTGGCTCGGTTGAAAGTGCGTCTAGAATAAAGTTTAGTCGTGTCGTTGCATTTCATGAAAATAATATATAATCAATAGATTTTTACCCTGACTGGAGGACAATTGAATTTCTCATTCAATTTTCTCCGAGAAAAAGATGAAATTAAATTAGGCCTTGGTGTAGAGAGACTGGCACTCTTGAAAAGGCAAATTTTAACGAGGTCGCTCGTTGCCTTTGCTCCATTCAGCACCGCGTACATAATATTGCAAGCTCTCTCTGGGTATCAGAAATCGCTCAGCCGGCCGCCTTTCAAGCTCAATGTGGCGAAAGGAAGTGTTATTCGTTCCTCGGGGAGGTCGGGAATATGTATAAAAGGCGGCGGTGGTATCATTTCTCTCGGCGCCTTTGATATGTACCTGCTTCAAAAGCAACTTGTGCACACACAAAATGTGCGTGCAAAGTGTACCCACCACCTTCTTGCGCGTGCGGCAATTAGCCGGTCGGGATAATGACGAGCTCTCGTGGCTAATTTCGAGAACGCGAGCACCCGTTGAGTGATGTGCCAAAGAAAGAAAGAAAGACATCATTTTTGCTCGAGGCTCACGTGAATGCTGTAGGCTTATCAACGAGTTTCAACCATAAAAAGAACTGAAAAAGAGCAGCCAATTGGTATATTTTGATTTTATAAAAGAAAAATTGCTATAAAGGCTAATTTTTATTAATTAATAAATACATAATTTATTTAAAATATCATTAAATTACATTTATCAAGAAGAGACAAATAATTCAATGTTCTTTAATAATAATAATAAAAAAATCTTTTCACTTATTTGTTTAGATGTTTAAATTAAAAAAAAAAAAATTATAACCAAAATTTATTTGTATTTTTATAATTTAATTTAATTTTGTATATAAATTAAGAAGCTTTCAAAATTTTTTATTATTTTTGTACTAAGATAAAATATTATTTTTGAAAATTACACAAGTTGTAATTTATAATGTAAATTATCTTTCTCACAACCCTTACAGTTTAGAAGTTCTAAAAAGAATTCTTATTGCTGTGGCTGCTGTGCAAGCATACTAGAGAATGTCTTATTTTGGGTAAAGCGCGAATTAAATTAAGAACGTTCAAAAATTTACGATCAGAATTGAAATCTAAAAATTAAATTTTAATGAACTGGAAATAAATAATATTTTTCAACGTTTGATAAAAACTCGTTACTGGCTATATAACCTATTTGAAAGGCACATAATATTTAATTTCATTGTCATACTCACGACGAAGTTACTGCCCATCTAAGAGCTCTTTGCTTAGTGGCAACGATTAGAAACGACTCTCGGCGCCAGCGAGAGCTCATTTGGCAGCAGCCGTAAATGGTATAGACACTCGCCTCCTCCATTATTTCGCAGCTCGGCAGCGAAATTACTGTTTTGAAAATCACTTTGCGCCGCGTCGAGCAATACCAGCCAGTTTATGGAATGTTTAATGAGCTCATTTGAATATTGCTCAGGTGCTCTTGAATATATTAAGTTTGCACTACGCAGCGCTGTTAGTAGGTTTTGAACAAAAATTAATAACAAGACGGCTGCTTGAAATTAAACTTCGAAAACAATTAGCTTGCCGACGAGCAAGTTTTCATCTCTGAGGCAATCAAATTACAAAGAGAGGTGAAATTGGAGGCACTTGTTGTCTTTCAACTTTAGCACTGCGCGCATTGATTTTTGTATGGAATTCATTTTGATTCAAATCTGTTTGTTTTTTCCTAAACAGAGCAAGCTGTAAATATGGTTTACTTCGACCATCTAAAACTAAAGTATAATATGATAACTAGAATTCATCACTCTAATTTACAATAAAAAAGGACTTAAATTTTTGCATATTTATATTGTATTTTCCAAAACGGATGAAAGATCAACTTTCATTTCAATTAACGTCAACGTTGTTAATTTAAAAAAATAATTTTGCCTGGGGCATTACGAAATACGAAATGAAAAATTGTGAATATGTTTAAAACAGACAAAAGGGGGTAAAAAGCAGTGCGCGATTTCAAACACGCCGATCTAATTGCATTGAACAAAAAGTTCGTTTTGATGAGCGCCTGCCTGACTTTCCACCGCAAAAACTTTTCGCTGACGCACATTTGACGAGGAAACTACTTTTTTGTAATGAAATGAGCTCTCTTGTTAAATCTAATGACGGCAGCCCAGGGCATCGCAGACTTTATACAAGGGAAGGCAATTTTTTCTCTCATTTCATCGGTTGCGGAATTCTTCTGATTGTGCGTGCAGGTTGATTGGACTCACCAGTGCGGAAGTTGACGACGATGTCTATGAGGAAGATGGTGTCTGAGAGACAGTTAAAGGCAATCCACCGCGTGCTAAGATCATCATTGAAGAACGAGATGGCAACTGGCAGGATGATAAGGTTCGCTACCAATAACAGCAGCATACACAGGTCCCAGTAAAATCTGCAAGCAAAAACGAAAATATGGATTAGTGTGAATCGCTGAAACAGTATGTTTTGTTGATATATTTAAAAAAAAGTATTAAAAATTTACAAACTTTAAATTTTTGTTTTTAGTTTTCAATTTTTTAGATTTTAAGACGTAATAAATTTAAATTTTATTATAAAGTATAATAATATAATTATTATATTTACCATTATTTAAACCATATTATTTGTATTTTTTTTGCCAACTAGTAGCTACTAATTTTATTTAATATTTTAATAAAATAATTTTGGGTTACATTATACAATTCAGCGAGTATTGCAAAAGATAACTTTGTTTTGGCGATCTGGCGTACTTTTATTCCTAAAATTAAATTTACAAGTTGCACAATTATTTAAATTAGTTATAAAATCTTACATTTATTTGATATCTAATTGTCATCTCAGTAAAAGGCAGAATATTTCAATTGATTCGTGACATTATCTATGAAATTACTTAATCTACGACATTTAATTTTTCAGCAATTATTTAGTTTTAAGGGAGAATTGGCCTAATTAAAATTTGGTGTAATTCCATCGCAATCTCACTTTAGCTCAAATACTGCTAGCAATTGTAAATAGCACATTTAGAAAAGAAATTATCAAATTTCTAATCACATGGTATCGATGGAACTTATTACATGATTTCTTAATACACACGTGAAGTTTTCATCAATCAGTTTCTGCAAAACAAAAAATAATCATAATTAAATAATATAACTACAAGCTTATGCTGAGGAAACGAATATAATTATTATGTATGCTTGGAAACTTCAGAACAAGTGTATGCAACCTGCACGACACAGCTGCGAACTTTGCAACTTTCAACTTAATTAAGAGTCACGGCGCACCGCGAACTTAGCGCAACAAATAGCAATTACCGTTATTTAAATTTCTAAGTGCGTCTGGAATACGCGTGATTAATTTAGACGACAATCTGCAGAACTTTTTGTTTAGGAAAATTAAAACTTTGAAAGTAGTGATTATAGGGAACTTCCTGTACGCATTGTCTAAAAAGACAATACTGCCCATCAAAATTAATTTAAAAGTTTCTCCTTTTTTTAAGTGTGAAGCATATGATTCAAAATTCCCCTTTTTATCAAAGCGCTTTCAATTTGTTTTTCATAAACCTCATTTAAAAATTTCTTATTGTTAAAAATTTTTACAGTAAAAATTAAATAATTGATATTTTTATTAAAAATAAACAAAAATTATTGGACAGGCTAAGTGTACCAAATTCTTCTCCGCACTAAAAATGTATGTGTAATGCACGCGCAAATATAATTTCCAGACCTTTCGTTTGAACTCCAAGTGTCCGGCTGTTCTATTTCGAAGCGGCGCCCCCACAAAACGCGAGCCTCGGTCAGCAAGTTCTCTCAATTTTTTATGCCCTTCCTGCGGTGCTGCCCTTTGCACATATGTTAAACCGCCAAGCAAAAAGGAAGGAATGGATTCTCTCTCGAGCCGCCACTCGACGTCGTCAGCAAAGAGATAAACCCATGCACGGATAAATATTAAAAGCCAAGCAGAGAGCAACGGAGGCTGCTGCTCACTCAGTACTTTTCAAGAGGACGCCGCCGCCTGCCGCCCAAAGAGCGACTAATAAAACGCTCGGCTGTGTTTTCATCAATTATAATGTGGTGCAGGCGACGGACGCGGCTTGTTTTTGTGCACCACACTTGAGAAGTGCGGAATTTCATTACGACTCTCTGTTTGACAAGTTGGATAAATATAAATAAAATATCTTTTTTTGTCAGAGTTTGAGACTAATGTGCCTAAAATGAATATTGCCCTAAAGGGAAATTTTGGAGATGATATCAATATATTTAGTTATTTATTTGTAATTTAACTCAAATTGAAACTTTTAAAAGTAAATAAAGTTCAATTTTTTGCGTTTATTGAAATCTAATGGTTTTGAAAATTTTCATTAATTATTACTTGCAAAATGTTGTTTGCAGATTTGTTAGAAATTTCAAATTCGTTGGATAAAAGTGATGATATTAATTGCTTTCTACTAATATTCAAAATTAATTAATTAAAATGATTAAATCATAAAATATTTCTGCCTATTACTTTTTTGATAATGTTTTCCTTGTATGGAGTTTTAAAATAAGATATTTAAAACTATTGAAAAGATAGTTATTAGTAGTTAGTAGTGATTGCGCGATTAATAGATCAATAACAATTATTATTATTGCAACTAATTTAATCATGTTGCCACTTTCAACACTCAAGGTATTTCCAAGCAGATCATAAATCCAAAATGGTGCCTCTGAAAAATTTTGAGTTTGACGTTTTAGATTCGCGTGGTCTGATATAAGAGAACAAAAGTCTGTGCGGAGGCAGTAAATCATAGCGAGATGAAAACAATCCGACCCTCCATTATTTCAAAATCTCATTGTTGCGAGTGCAAGGTACATAGACACGCGGAAAACAAAATGGCCTCTGTGGAGAAAATGCCACTATTATTTAAGAGCTCTTTCGCACACAAAATTTCGCGGAGGCGCCTAATCCGCTGGAATTTCTCGGTGTGCATTCGGATAAATTTCCCTGCAAACAATCCGCGCAAAGTTGGTCTTGCACTCGCCCTGCTCTGTCGAGAGAAAGCTAGTCATATTCTGACTTATTCGCCGCCACCCCGCCCAATATTTGCATAAACCCAAAACAAACAGCGCCGCGTGTTTGCTCTGTAACTGTAGATTATTATCATTGTTCCATCAGGCGTCTGGCTAAGCGAGAGGACTGAATGTCACAAATTCCTCCCGCGCGACGAAATTTTTAATGACGACTCTTCTTTTTACTACCGGGCTCGCCCTTTTCGGAATGATTTTATTGCTACCGTCGGTTGTTAAAAGAGGTTTATTGGACTCGCTGCTTTGATAAGGGAGCTTTATCGTGTTTATTCAAATGAACTCCTCTCCAAATTGGCTTATACGGGAAGAAATATGGCACTGGAGGGCTTGAAATTTAACTTCTGCTAAAGGAACAATTATAATTAAAATTTTATTCTAAGAGATTTACCAAGAATTAACATTGTAAGGTAGCTTTTGTTGAAAATTTGAGTAAATTTTATGCAAGGAGAAATTTTTTGGTCATGTTTTCATTGGAATGATTTACTTAAGTAATTATTATTGTTATAATATTTCATAATTCAATTTTTTTTTGAATTCAACCAAAATATACAATCACTTGATTGAAAACGATAACTTTTTATTGATAAGCGATAGCCCCGCATCAAACAGAAAAAATTTAACCCACAAGTTGGTTGAGGTTTGAGTGAAAGCAACGCGTCCCTGAGGCGACGGTGACGAAACGGTGCGTTCGTCGCTTCCATTCGCCCCCGTGGCCCGCGATCAATTGCGAGAGGAGCGGGTTGCATCTGGGCGCAGAAGCCATTCAGGAAGTAGATTTATGATGATGAGGTGCATGCATCCTCTCACTCTCAACGTCGCCCTCTCGAGATAGGCTTCAGGAGAAGGAAAGTTCCCCTCGGCCCAATCAAAGAATGGGAGAGAGAAAAACACAAAAATTTCACCCATTTAAAATAGATGGAAAAAAATATTATTTGTAACCCTATGAAATCAAATTTGAAAGAATTAATTTAAATGTTGCATCAAAATGAATAGATAAATTTGTAATTAATTAAAAAACTTAGGCAAATTTTGTAAATTAAAATGAATATTGTGTAAAGATAACCCTTTTACAACTATTTAGCCAGTCTCGCATATTCTTCTCAACGACTCATCGGTTAGTCGGTCTGTCGGACAGAATTTGGCACGGTGCCAAACACACAGACGTACATGCAGAGCAATGTAGGTCAAACACGGCAGCACTCGCGAGCGTACGTAATTCATGCACCCTCTTGCAGCCCCCGCTTCACCTGCCTTATTTGCCCTCTCTCGCGCGTTCACCATTCAGCGCGGATTTAATAAAAGTCTCAATTGTTATCAGCATCCATTTTTACAGGCCATAAAGATTCAATCGCGCTGAATGAATTTTTCACCCCGACGGTGGAAAAAAATCGCTCGGTATGCAGAATGAGACTTATAGAGAAGAGATGCATTTTCCTTGGGATTTACAATTGAAAAAAAAGAGGCCATCTTTTTTGTAATTTCCCTTTTTAGATTAACCAGAAGGAGAGTTCCTGAAGAGGTAGAATTTTTTTGTATTCTAATTCACTTATTTGTTCTGGAGTTTCATTCACTAGCAGATGCAAAAAAGATCTTTTCAAATGTTTGCAAAAAAAATTACAATAGAATTAGGTCAAGTACTGCCGATGCCATTGATAAGACGGAGAGCGGGAATTATTATAACTATTTTTTTTCATCAAGGATTTTCTTAACAACGTTTTTCACAATTTTCTGCTTTTTATTTTGCCCTGTGCGTGTCAATAAGTACACAAAAATTGAAGATTGATAAGGAAAAACACGGCGAGAAAAATAAAAAAGAGAAAAAAAACTAAAAGGCTAAATTTTCTATTCTATTCAATTATAACGTTTCATTTTTATTTAAAAAAGATAATAGCAACATAATAAATATGTTTAAGGAAGATCTAATCAATAGAAACATTTCAAACCTTGTTTCCATCCAGTCAAAGTTAAGTCAATTTTAAAACAATTTTTATTTTCAAGACCTTCCTTATAGAAATAAAAGGCAAGGGAGCTTTATAAAAGAGGATTAATTTTCCACGAGGAAAGTATGGAAGTTAGCGTGAATGAGTGAATTCACACTTGGGAGCAAAAAATCTTGCAATTCCTATTCTTGGCCGTTATCAGGGAATCAAAGATGGGGATATCGAGCCGGCAAAATGTCATCAGCCGCTTCTTAATGAGCTTAGAGCCTAATATCTTGCATGACACAAAGGCGCTCTCTAATCTAACGCGCGCTCTCCTCATTCAGTCATGGATCACTAATCTTTACGAGTGGCTGCCGAGCCTTGCACTGCAACTGTGTAATATTTAATGCTGGCAAGCACAATGG